TGACATGTGTAGGAAGGAGATTGTTGTTCCACACAGACAGGAAGTTCTAGGATCTTTGATTACATTGTCTTGCACTTAGTACTACAGTTTCTTTATTTGTTTATTTATTAAAATAAATTTGATTTACCTGAGATATCTCCCATCCATACCTCCATTGGTTTTCTGTTTTGAATTTGCTTCATAATATGGTAAAATTTACTCTGGTTAGGGGCAAAATATTATAGCAAAGCTTATGGGGAAAACTACATATCTTCCTCTTTATCATTTTAAGGATATTATCTGGTTTGGGTTATTGTCATTAGAGGCTTTTTATCCTTATATTGAATCTGGTATGTTGGATACTATGCCTTAGTCACAAAGAAGTTACTTTAGAATTACATGTGACCAAGAGCTTGCAGTTACAATAGGTATACAGCTGCTCCCCCGTGTGGTTGTGGATCCAAAGAGCTTGTGGAGCTTATATTAAGAGCACAACACCATTGCATTTTGTGACAAGCTAGCATCATTCTTGAGAAGCACAGCTAAAAATTTAGATCTAGAATTTTGTGGCACATCAAACTAATGATGATATAACGATGTCATCGTATTTTTGAACCTATTTTTATAATATGTAACGCTCAGTGGTACTCATCCAGCTTTACTATGGCAAACTAGGAGGGTATGTTTTTAGAACCACAATAACAAAAAAAGTTGGAGATGTAGAAAGGACATAGAAAAGAATGTGAAAAGTGAAAGTGAAGAATGATGGAAGATTTTGGCTCTCTGCTTCTTTATTCCCCTGTCATCAGTAGATAAACCCAGAGTGCTAATCTACATCAAGTTTTATTCTCAGGTTTCATGTAACTAAAAATGTACATGTATAAGATGGCTAAGCAGGGGTAGGGATATAAGAAACGATTATGGAATCATTTTTCCGAATTTGCTTCCAAGCAAGTGACATCTATTTCCAATGCTTTTGACATGGTTAGTCCTTTTGGGATAAAATTCATGTTTGCTTATGGAATCGCTTATAGTCCATTGTTGGGGTAGCAGCAGACAGAGCTGGATCATAATTTGACACTGAGTTTTAGGCCCAACTAAGAAGATTGTGATACAGTGGTATTCTGTTCTTATATTTCTTTAACTTGTACCTACCATGGATTTGTCAGCCAGAATCTTTTAAATCTTAGTATTACTTAACGAAAAAACATTACTAAGGATTGAATATACTGGCTTTAGATTGATTGCTCATTGTCATACAGTTTCATGTGTAAGAATAGATAATACATTATTCAAGAGATAGGGAATGCTGTTATTTACTCATATATTCTATTAGTGGACTATGCTGTATGTGGAGTTAAAAAATAATATAAGCCATAGGCTTTGCCAACCTGAGGGCTTCTCATCTAGTGTGGGAGAAATGCAGTCACAGAATAAACAGGTAGCAGGCAATAATAAGACGAAACTTTGCAGTAAGTTTGAAAGAAGGTTAAGAGTCAGGGTAGGATGTGTTTGCCAGAGGAACTGGAACTTCTGATGGAAAGGTAGAAAGGAGAGGGAAAGTATTTTAAAGGAGTTCTTGAAGAATTGCCTCAAGAATACTCTGGCTGACATATTTAAATACAGTTTGTAGCTGTAAATCGACTCAGAGCTACAGAAAGCTTAGCTGTAATAAGCTAAGGGTAGTTTTTTTGAAGAAAAGGCTTTTCATTGAATATGACTCTAGAGTCAAATCTCAAGTAAAGACAAGCTTCCCAAAGAGCTATACAGCCCCCCACAGCTAGCCACAGAGCAGGGTGATAGAATGGAAAGACCGCCTGAATTAAGAATCGGGAAGCCTAGATTTTAGTTTGGGCTCTGACACTAATCCCATGGCTGGAGCACATCCCTTAACTCTGCAAGACTCCATTTTCTTTATTATAAAATTAGGTTTTGGACCAATTGGTCTCTAAATGTCTTTCATCTTTGACTCTTTGTCTTTTCTGTGCACATAAACATCAGATCTAATCTTTGTTAGTGGCATTATTTTGAAAACATGAGACAACATAGGAACAACATTATTGAAAAAAAAAGCAACTTTTATAATATTTTTAGAATTTACTGTTTAAACATAGTTTTGGAAGTGTGATAAGAGGAAGGAATCTATTTGTATAGATGCTCAATTATTAAAAAAAATCTTTTTGAGAACATGCCCAAATCAAGGCCGTATTCCTTTCCTGAAGCATTATGTTGATTCTTTTTTATTGCGTTGAGATGGAGATTTTAGGAGAAGAGTCAGAGACCAATCAAAGAGTTTTAGACCCTCCCAATTTCTTATCAAGTATCAATGCCTAAATAATACTGCTATATAAGATGCCCTCTTCTAGGCTCCTACCTGAAAGTGGAACTTTAATCACTTAGAAGGTCCTTTACCTCACAATTGGTATAATTGGAGTCTCAGTGACTGGTGGAAACCATAGCATAGTGTTGTGCTCAGCTTACAGCAAAGCCATCATGAGGAGTGATGTGTTGGGTAAACAAAGACTATCCTACAGCAGAAATTGTGGAACCCAGGAAGAATTTAATTACAACTAAGTTTTACCTTATAACTTTTATCTTTGGGGGATAATTTTCTAATTTTTCTGTAGAAAACAAATATTAAAAACAACAAGCTAGATACAGAATTCCTTAAGAAAAATAGAGCTTTAATAAAATGAGACTTTGCTAATGTTATATTCTCCCTTCCTCTTAGGAGACGGTGCAGCCTCCTTAGTTTATTTTGCTTGAGAAAAAGGTTCCAAATCTATTTGTTTCCTAATATCCCACTGCAAAAGAAAAATAATTGCATGACTGTCCCAGAGGTTTCAGGGTCATTTGGAGTATTTCTAAGATTTCCTGTAATCCATGTTTTATTTGTGTTTTGAACATCTCTCTGATGGTATCCCAGCAAGAAATAATTTATTATTCCTAGAAGTATCCTACTACTATAACATTTCTGACTGGATTCTGTCTCTAAAATCTTTTAAATTTTGTAATGCTTGAAATGCATGCTTATTACAAGTTTTTAAAATGCATGAAAATATAATTTTTTTATAAAATGAAATTAACCTGCATATCTTCCCTTCTCTTGCCGTCCCGTTTTGAATAATTCAACCTAAAAGACATTAGGTAGGGCTGAGTAAGGTAGGAGTCTGCATGACATCAAACCTAGAAGCCATAAGAGAATAGATGGATAATTTAGCTACATAACAATAAAAAAATTCTACATGGAAAAAATAAGTCATCCCAAATAGGAAAAACTATTTGTATCACTTATGTTCAAAGGGCCAATTTTTTTTGTATGTAAAGAGTGTATGCAAATCAATTAGATAAAGAGCAGCAACCCAACAAGTAATCTACAAAGGAACAGAACAAACTGTTCATAGAAAATTATGCAGTTTGTTCCTTTCCTTTATATAAAAATGAGAAATTTTCTTAAGTATATGAGAAAATGCCTAAATTCTCATTCATAAGAAAAATGTAATTTAAAAGTATATTGAGATACACTTTACCTATTAAATTGACAGATCCACCATTAAAACATCTTTTGAAATATCTGTGAAAAAACAAGCACTTTAAAAAATTGCTAATGGAATTGCAAATTAGTACAACATGTGTGGGGCACAGTTTGGGAATATTCAACAAATTTAATACTCATTCCCTTTGACTCAGCAGTTTTGCTTCTGGGAATTTAGCCTACTGATACACTTCCACGCAAACTGACAAAATTATAAACTTATTTATTGCAACACAGTTTGTAACAGCAAAAGATTGTGAGCAGTACAAATGTCCACACATGTATGGGACTGGTTAAATAAATTATAATGCATCCATAAAATGGAATACTATGCAGATATTAAAAAGAATAAAGAAACTTCATGTGAAATGAAGTCTAAGGAATATGTTAAGAGAAAAAAAGCAAAGTATAGAAGTATGTATATATTATCCTATTTTTGTAAGAAAAGGGTAGTAAATGTGCATAAAATATCTCTGGAAATACACATAAGAACTGATTGTATTTCTCTCTCTTTTTTTTTTTTTTTTTTTTACATTTCTCTAACATGGTCATGAGTTGTGAGAGAACTGATTGTATTTCTCTAGAGTTAACAACTAGATGGCTAGAGTATAGGAATATAAGAGACTTTTCAAAGAACACCTTTTTATAGCTGTTGAATTTTTAACCATGGGGATTTACCTATTCGATAAATAAACTTCTAATGAAAACAAGGAAATACCTTGTAGGCCAAATATAAAGAAAGAAGCATAACATTATATCAAATGCTTTTATACATCCTATAACCATAATAAACATCAGATATATTTTTCTTTGCCATCTAGCTGCAGATACCATAGTTATTTCTTTGTGAACAGGATTATTCATGAAATTTCCTAATGCTGAATTAAATTATTCCTGGAGTGATTCCTTAATTTTTTTTTTTTTTTTTTTTTTTTTTTGAAGATGGAGTCTCACTCTGTTGCCCAGTCTGGAGTACAGTGGCGTGTTCTTAGCTCACTGCAGCCTCTGCCTCCTGGGTTCAAAGGGAGTCCTCAGCCTCCCAAGTAGCTGGGATTACAGGCGAGCACCACCACACCTAGCTAATTTTTGTGTTTTTAGTAGAGACGGGGTTTCATCATGTTGGCCACGCTTGTTTCAAACTCCTGACCTCTGGTGATCTACCCGCCTCAGCCTCCCAAAGTGCTGAGATTACAAGCGTGAGCCACCACGCCTGGCCACTGTGTGACATTCTTTTAATGCCTTGTTCATTTATATTTGTTTATATTTAAATGTTTTACATTAATATTCAAAACTGAAGATTTGTTTATAGTGAGTATTTTGTCAGTCATCTTTGGCATGTTTCAATAAGGAATATTATGAAACTGTATGAGAATTGGAAATATTTTCTTTTCTATTTTTTCTTTCCCCTTACCTCTTGAGGCAGGCAAGCTGAGTTTGAATACTCTTGGCATTTTTGCATATGCAATAATTGTAGTTTTACCTACAGGAAGAAGAAGGAAATACTTGGAAAACACAAAAAACTTCCTGGCTCCAAGATTGTGTTTTATCTTTATCTCCAACCAATGATCTTATGGTGATAGCTCGGGAGCAAAAAGCTGTATTTCTAGTGCGTGAGTATCCTATTATTTTCAGTAACCTTTATTTTGATGGATTGGATAGAAGAGAAAATGGATTTGGTGGAAAGAATATAACACTTTTTATTTCCTTTTCTCTCTTTATCTCTCTCTGTCTCTCTCTCTCTCTCTCTCTCTCTCTCTCTCTCTCTCTCTCTCTCTGTCAAGGTCATTGACCTTTTCTTAGTAACAATGTGAGTGAGGTGATTTTCAACCTTAATTTGAAAACTCGTAATATTACAGATTTCTGGTGTTTGGGGATTAATATTTTAACTCATAATTTTTTGTGGAAGATTAAAATTGACTTGTTTTTCGTATCTTATAGATCTATAAACCTTACTGATCAGAGTAAGATTATATGTAAAATGTTTGTAGAATGGTCTTACAAAGCAAATTTACCCTCCAGTAGCAAAGATCTAGTAGAAAAATTTTCTCTGTCATCTGAAGATAAAAGTAGTCTTGAACTAGGCAGGATGAGCATAGGAATTAATAACTTTATTCTACAAGAACTATGACAACATTATATAGGTTGAATTGGGAGAAGGAGAGGCTAAAGGCCAGGAGACTAGGTGTATTATAAAAATCTTATAAACATTTTTGTCTTATATTTACTTACATTATAGAAAAGACACAAGTCAGTTAATACACAGCTGTTAAATTTTATAATCATATTCTAAGGGGAAAGAGCAAAATTTATAAATTACTGTTTAGTATATTGTAGCTAAAATTATTTTATATGATTTTTTTTAGCAAAATGGAAATATAGTGATAAAGGAAAAGAAGAAATGCAATTTGCTGTTGGTTGGAGTGGTTCCTTAAATGTCGAAGAAGGGTAGGTGCTAGTTAATTTATGTTTCTCTGTGTTACATGTATGTATGAAATTGTTTGACTTGTAAGTGAATCTATTAAAAAGTTTGATTGTTTGGTTAGGCACAGTGGTTCACATCTGTAATCCTAGCACCTTGTAAAACCAAGGTAGGAACATCATTTGAGCCCAGGAGTTCAAGACCACCTTGAGCAACATAGTAAGATGCTATCACTACAAAAAAAATTAAAATTAGCTGGATGTGGTACATGCACCTGTAGTCCCAGGTATTCCAGAGGCTGAAGCAGGAGGATTGTTTGAACCCAGGAGTTTGAGGCTGCAGTGAGCTATGATCATGCCACTGTATTCCTGCCAGGGAAACAGAGTGATACCCTGTCTCTTAAAAAAAAATAATTTTTTAAAATAAGAAATTCATTATTTGAAATGTTTAGTAAATGTATATGCATCCTAACTTTAGAGGTTGTAGAGAATGATTCCTTCAGCAAATTTTATGTATCATATAATTAGTTTTTAATTCTGTTGTGAGATTTAAGGAAGAATTTAAAAAGAATCTTATAAAATCCTTTTTACATTTTGTCTTTTCCCTCTGTTCTCCATTACTAATTTTATTCATCAAAAAAATCAAGGGCAATCATTGTCTTCTCTGCTTTGCTGACACTGGGCTTATACTTGAAGGGTACGGTACTACATTAATTCTCAAAACTTATAAATACTTCAGAAATGCAAGTTGGTACATTAGTTTCCTGCTGACCCAGTAAAACTTTTATAACCATGATATCCAGTGTGGTTACATGATGGAACCGCTAGCCTAGAACCTTGAGCCCACACTGGTTTTCTTTCTTTCTTTTTTTTTTTTTTTTTTTTTTGAGACAGAGTTTCACTCTTGTTACCCAGGCTGGGGTGCAATAGCGCGATCTCGGCTCACCGCAACCTCTGCCTCCTGGGTTCAGGCAATTCTGCCTCAGCCTCCTGAGTAGCTGGGATTATAGGCACGCGCCACCATGCCCAGCTAATTTTTTGTGTTTTTAGTAGAGACAGGGTTTCACCATATTGACCAGGTTGGTCTCGATCTCTCGACCTTGTGATCCACCCGCCTCGGCCTCCCAAAGTGCTGGGATTACAGGCTTGAGCCACCCGCCCGGCCCCAAACTGGTTTTCAATTAAATGTTAATGACTGAAAACTGTCTGATCAGACTGAATAAGAAAAGCCTTCAGACTTTGAAATCAGATAAAAGACAACCAAGTGGAAGTGCCTAAAACATCCCTGGCACATTGTAGATATTTGAAATATTCTCTACTATTATCAAAATAAATGGTAATATTTCCCCTTAGACTATTTAAACTAAGTGTTTTTTTTTTTTTTTGTTTTTTTTTTTGAGACGGAGTTTCGCTCTTGTTACCCAGGCTGGAGTGCAATGGCGCGATCTCGGCTCACCGCAACCTCCGCGTCCTGGGTTCAGGCAATTCTCCTGCCTCAGCCTCCTGAGTAGCTGGGGTTACAGGCACGCACCACCATGCCCAGCTAATTTTTTGTATTTTTAATAGAGACGGGGTTTCACCATGTTGACCAGGATGGTCTCGATCTCTTGACCTCGTGATCCACCCGCCTCGGCCTCCCAAAGTGCTGGGATTACAGGCTTGAGCCACCGCGCCCGGCCTAAACTAAGTGTTTTAAAGTCATTTGATTTGTCAGAAATGCAAAGCAAATGTAATACTTTAAAATCAGTGAACAAACATGAAGATGAATTTTGTTCTTTGATTACCTAGTATGATGTATGGAATAGAAGTGTTCATAGTTTCTTGGATGAGCTGGTCATCATTCTCAGGTTCGGCAGATTTAACAAAAGTCAGTGGGTAGGAGTTGTTTTGATTTTGAGACTTAGTTTCTGAGCTTCTGACAAATACTTCAAATCAACATGTCAAGAAAAAAAAATATCTTTTTAATGGAACATCACACCTAACATGTACTTAGAAATAGATTATTAGAGCAGTTTCTGCAAAGTAGAAAAGAAAAACCAGCAAGTTGAATACATGCATTCCTAAAATAATGTACCCTGCAGAAATGCAGTTTGCATGTTACGTGACTGGCAGTTCCTCAACCATTTGCTCAGCTCCTGATCTCATACAAGGAGGCAGGCCAAAGTTCTTAGCTGAAGCAGAGGAGAGGAGGGGAGATAGTAGGAAATGGCTGCTTGGGGATCATTTGAGGTTTGCTCAGTTCTGTATATAGTCACTTGTGTAAGTAAAATTTGGCTTTCTGTACTTCCATGTTTTTCATGACAATATGGAGTGAAAAATTCTGTTTCTTATTAACCTCAAATGCGTGCAGCAGTACATTTTATGAGAATGAATTTTAAGGACCTTACCTGTGGTGAAGTTTTACTGTATTTTTACTTATGCATCAGATAAAACTGGTTCACAGAAGTCATCTTCCACTTATTATTCTTTTTTTTTTTTTTTTTTCCCCGAGACGGAGTTTCGCTCTTGTTGCCCAGGCTGTAGTGCAATGGCGCAATCTCGGCTCACCGCAACCTCCACCTTCTGGGTTCAGGCAATTCTCCTGCCTCAGCCTCCTGAGTAGCTGGGATTACAGGCACACGGCACCATGCCCAGCTAATTTTTAGTATTTTTAGTAGAGACGGGGTTTCACCATGTTGACCAGGATGGTCTCGATCTCTTGACCTCGTGATCCACCCACCTCGGCCTCCCGAAGTGCTGGGATTACAGGCTTGAGCCACCGCGCCTGGCCCCACTTATTATTTTTTAAACCTCCAATTATGGAGAAATAAAAGTAATTGATAAGTTCAGTGGAAAAGCATATGATTTTGTTTTTGTTTTTAGGGAATGTGTAACCAGTGCTCTGTGTATTCCACTAGCAAGCCAAAAGAGGTAAGTTTTTAATTAGTTTTTAATTCTGTAAGTGAATTGACTTGTAAGTGAATCTATTAAATATATTATCTGTTGTCTTTGCTTGGATTTATGAGTTGTTAAGATAATAAATTTTGTTTGTAATAGGAGTTCCACTGGGCGTCCTGACTGGACCTGCATTGTGGTGGGTTTTACTTCAGGTTATGTACGCTTCTACACTGAGGTGAGTTGAGTTTTCAGCAGCTAGAAAAAAGGCTATTTGACTGCAGTACCTGGTTATGCATCCCCTTCATACTAGTTTGTGACTTTATTACCTGCAGTCTGAAAATGTGTAGTTGATACTTTATGGGGATAGAGGCCAGGACAGACCCTGGCAAGTTCTGGTAGAAGATACAGAGAAGAGGAGCTGTATTCTGAAAAGAGTGTACCTCGTATCTCTGGAAAACTGTTGGGGAAATGGTACACTCTGCCTGGTGATACCGGCTCAGATATATTGGTAAGAAAACAAGCAGGGCCCTTCTCTGTGCTTCCTCCTAGAATGGTGTGCTCTTGCTTGCACAGCTTTTGAATGAGGACCCAGTGCTTCAACTTAAATGCAGAACCTATGAAATACCACGACATCCTGGCGTGACTGAGCAGGTAGTGTAAAATATTGTGTTCCAACAGTAACAGTGGCATTACTTTGAAGCAGTTTCTCTCCTCTTTTGGGGGGTAGAAACTTAACAGATATCTTTGTCTTGTGGCACAGTTAGCTCTGCTGTCATATTCTAGAAGTAAAATCTATTTGTAGCTGAAAAAGAATACCAGTCTTGCTTTTACTTATTTAATGAAATATTGTATATTTCTTTCTACAACAAAGTAAAACACTTTAGTTAGAAGTCAAGAAAATTACTTATTTTTAGAATTTAATAGTGACTTAATACAAAAATATGGTATTATGTAGCCTTATATCTTTTTTTATTTGGATGTAGGTGCTAACATTACCCAGAGTAAAAGAAAAAAAAAATTGCCTTCTTGTTACTAGTGCTGCTACCTTGTACTTAACTATTTTCCAGAAAGGGGGTTACTAAGCTTTGGTTCATAGTGGAAAATACATTATATTCATTAAAGATTTCAGTGAGAAAATAATACTGTTTAGTATTTAAGGCTCTAACTTCTTAGGTGCCTTGTAAGATTTTGGCTGTCTCAGTCAAAAAATAATTGTAGGGCATTTAAACCAGTATGCTTTTATTTGTTTTGCAGAGTGCATAATCAAAACTATGTAATATGCCTTCCCTTTTTTTGTACTACTTGGCCTCCAAAAGATTTCAAGTAAACAGATGTATATACTGTATGTATATGTTAATTTAATTTGCATGGGAGGTGGACTGGAGCTGTCGAAGAAACTTAACTATCTAGTAAGAGAGACTAGGATTAAAATATAATGATATCTATGTATGAATTAATCACTAATATAAAGCAATACCTAATTTATTGGTAATTTATTTGGACAGAATACATTCTGTACAAGCTTAGAGAAAGGAGAGTCCAATTTGGACTGGGAAAATAAGAAAATTTCATTGATGAGGTGAGATTTGCTCTAAGCCTTGAATAATTAGTATAGAATTTAATTAGGTAATTGAAAAAAGGGGAAAGTGTTTCAGGTGATCAGGAGAAAATTTGAGAGAAGATTCAAATGCAGAACTATATATGCAACTACAAAGAAACCTGTGTTATAAAACAATGAGAAACTGTCAAATAGGCAGAGTGGCCAAATTTTGCATAAATTCAAAAGCCCAGTGGAAAATTAGAATTGATTCAGGAAATGAAAGAAACTCCTAAAGATTTGTGAGAAGAAAGTGATGTAATCAAAGGAATATTGAAGATTTCTTTCTTCAGGATAAACTGGAATTCAGGAGGCTGGTTATCTGGTTTTTTAAGTTATCTATAACAGATGTGGAGTGCTGGGAGCCAGGACTAAAATGGCTATGGGAAGAGAGAAGGGACCAGTACAAAAACTATTTTTAGGAAGCAATTAATAAGACTTGGTTATTGTGTAGAGATGTACAACTTTTTAAATGAGCTAAAGATGTCTCTAGGATACTTATCCTGAGGAGTGCCATTGTCAAAGTTGGAGTAGGGGACTACATTGGCAGTAAATGTTATTAAATGTGGTTTTGCATGTGTTGAGTTTGAGGCAATGGTAGGAAATAAAACCAAGTTATTGGTGTCATGTAATGATAGAAAACTGCTGTATAGGCACAGAGACTAGATTGGACATGATGGTTGAAGTCATAGATAATGAATGAATTCTTTCAAGTAAAGCATGTAGGAAAATAAAACTGCAGGCTGAAGACTTAAGTCTTAGTAACTAATAATACTCATCATACTCATCATGAGATAGGAGAAATTGAACTATTAAAGGAAACAAGGAACAGCTGGAAATCAAAGAAGATAATCTGTGAACTGAAGATGACTTTCCAGAGATGTTTTTCAAATTTCTAAAAATTCACTGGATGATGAAGCTTTTTAAAATACATTAAATTTTGTCATGTCTGTAATACTCTTTTTTAGACATGGGTGGAAAAATATAACATTTAAATATTTGCTTGCTATTTGCTATACAAGCCAAGAAAATCATCTCAGAATTTTTATCAAGAAGGAAGTCTTTGTTGTTACTCTGTATTCTACACTGAACATCTCTGGATCTAACACATCAATTTATATATCAAAAATATATTCTATTTTCTTCTTTTAATATACTTCCAGATTTGTCAGAGATCACAGAAGCATATTTCCTCTAATTCAGTTCTGGGAGCAGTGAGTGTAGTAGGGGTGACAGTAGGTTATTGCAGGAGAGGATTCGAAAGAGAGTAAGAATCTCCTTCTGGAATTTCAAAGAACTTCTTTTGTATAATAGCTTCTGTAAGAAAGCCTCTGTCATCTAGCACAGTATCTACAGATTTGGGGCCATTGGTGTTTGTATTAGTATTTTCTTCAGGAAGACTACCTGGTTTTGGAGATAATTGACTTGCTGGTGGTTAGGTTTTTTCTGTTTTCTAGCTCCCCAAAGTCAGTGAGGAGGCTCTCTCCCTGCTGCCATGCTCACTGAGTCATGCATGCTTAGCCTTGTGAACCTGTCATGTGAGAACACATGCATGTCCCTTCTTCACTAGCTTATGTCCCTTATGCCCCAGAATTCTTTTTTAAAAAGAGAAACAGCCTGACAGTCTAGTAGAAAAAGGAGCAAGGCAGATCTCAAAAGAAATTGGCCCAAAAGCATATAAGAAAATTTTGAACCTTAATCTAAGACCTATAAGAAAATACAATGAGGTAACTTTTCACTTTTCAGATCGGCAAAGATAAAAATTAACAAACTTTTGGTGGCAATATAGAAAAACAGGCCCTGCCTGTATTGTTGTAGAAATATAAGTTGATAGGTACTTTTTGAGGCAACTTAATATATAAGAGAATGAAAATTGTGAATACTTTATGACCCAACAGACCCAGTTGAAGAAATTTACACTTAAGTAATATCCTGCTAACATGGAAAGATATGGACCGAAGAATGTTTATTGCAGTGATGTTTATAATGATGAAAATATATTTAATTCATAAATATTTCTTTACTGCCTATTATGTGCCCAGTTCAGTTCTAATCCTTGAGGATTCATTGGTGTAGCAGACATACAAGGTTCCTGCTTTCATGGAATTTACAGTTTGGGGATGGTGGAGGGAAACCAACAGTAAGCAACTAGAGATATCAAGGTGATTCCAGTCTCTGATAGGTACTGTAAAGGAAGTCATGTTGATGAGATAGTAATGTGCCAAGAGAATAGGTATGTTGTTTGAGATGGAGGTTTAGGAACAGTCTCTCTGGATAACTAACATTTGAACTGAAATCTGAATGACCAGAACAATTAGGCAGGTAAAAATCTGGGGGGAGAAGGTCCAAGCACATGCAAAGGTCTGAGGGTAATGATGACCTCTCATATTTGCCAGATCTTGCAGCCATGGTTAACGAGTTCAGGTTTTATTCTAAATGTAGAAGGGAGACATTGGAGAGTTTTAATCAGGAGATTGATTTGATCTGCTGTGTCTCATGAAGAGCACACTGGCTGTGTGGAACATGGATTGTAGAGAGCAAGAGTGGAAGCAGGAGGCCAAACTGAATGTCCATCAATATGAACTGGTTAAGTAAAATGGGGTACATATAATTAAAGACTGTGCAGCCACAACAGAAGATTGTTTGTTCACTTATTGAAATGGGAAAATGTCACTGACATATTATTGAGTAGTAAAAATCATGTTAAGATACTATGTGTGGTATAGCCTTATGCAAATGTGTATGAATATATTTGAGGATGTGTTGAGACATGTCTGGGATTTCAGGTGAGTTTTCTTCTGTTTTTACATATTGTTTGTATCTGTGCAATGGGTTCATTTATTTTTTATGAAATTATAATTCTTTGTGTTACTCTCAGCATCTTAGAGACAGTTATTCACCATATACAAAAAGGTTGTGTTTGAAAAGAATTTTTGGTCTTCGGCAAAAAGGCACTCTGAAATTAATTTTTTAATCTATTTTTACCGTTGTTCTGACTGATATTGCTTTGGGTGTTGGGTGGTTGATGGTTTAGTCCCAGTATTTTTTATTTTATATTATTCATGAAATTCAGGTATATTAAAAAAAATAGATAAGCTTATTTGATGTATCTAGTTAAGAACATTTATTTTTTTCTTTCTTATTTCTTAAATAGAACGAAGAGTTGAGTATCTTATATCCCGCTGCCATTGTGACTATTGATGGATTTAGTCTTTTTCAATCTCTTCGTGCTTGTCGAAATCAGGTAGCAAAAGGTAATATTTGGGCAAGAAATATTTAACCTATGTTGATGTTTGTTTTATTTAATTTTACCTGTTTATGGAATTAATTATGTCTTCTAAATACAGAAAGACCATCTGAACTAGATTTATGGGAAAAACCTGCTTCCTGTCGAGATAAGGGAGCATGTTGAGTAGATTGCTTAGTACGGTAGAGACAAGGGCTAAAACATAAACACTCTTCACATGTTGCCTTTGGAGAGCGTGGTTAGCACGGGAACGCCGGGCTTTCTTCACTAATTCAGCAATATGGCTTGGCTACTTAAATTTGCAGCTATATTGACAGCCAACATTGGGGTAAAGAATTTAGTTACATCTGGCTGAGGTACCACATTTTCACTAGATCAGCAGCTAATCAAGGCCAATATCCTAAAACCCTGTGACTGTACATTGCTCCTGTCCTCACTGAGGTTAAAGATATCACTGTGCAAGCGAAATGCAAGATCCTACAGATGCCACTGTAGGCAGGACCTAGCAGGGAGTCAACATGAGCTTCTTTTTGCTAACTTGGAACGCTCAGGATGGAGAAACTCTAGAGGCCTAAACTTCATGTGTATATGGGCAACAATATAATTTTCAGACTTAGGGATGAAAACTGCCCAAATAATCAAGAATTCTTGCTTTTACTACCTATAATTTATATTCTAATGCTGTTACGTCTTTGGAAGAGATATTTCATCAAATTCAACATGCCATTGATCGTAAGATATGCTATTATTTTATGTACCACTAAGAAGAAAAAGCCAGTAAAACACACACCATCAATTTTCAGATCTCAGTTTCAGAGTCGTGAATATATGGAAAAGAAGAGTCCTAAAACTAGTGAAAATATGAGTGGTAACACTAACTTCCCTTTTTTTTCTGGGATTGAGTAGAGGAGGCTTAATGGCCCCAAAACAAAGTTTAACTTTGGTGGAAAATGAAATGGCTGATAATACCAATTATAAAATAATGGTCTATTACTAGTTTATTAAATTAATGAACTTCTTACCTGCAGAAAATTGCCTTTTGATATATAGATTAAGGGTATTTTAAATGTTACCAAGATAATGAAGCTTATGGTGGATTAAATTTAAATAATTTAAAAGAGTATGAAAATAGGTATAAAAATTTAAACAAATTCTGACCTAGTAAAAAAGCATATACTATAAAAGAACCGCATAGCCAAGACTTCAGAATTTTACCAATCCTGTCAACCTGCTAAAAAAGAGAAAAGGTTTTGATTGCAATATAAGATGCTGCATTTAGACTAAATTTAGAAACAATTTTATGAAACAGTAAACATATCCTAATTAGCCTATGTTTTCAGGAAACCGTCTCAACCATTTAGGAGTTAAATTTTGTTTTGGGGCCACCAGGGCTCCTCTACTCAATCCCAGAAGGAAAGGGGAAGTCAGCGCCACTACTCATATTTTCGCTGATTTTAAGACTTTTCTGTATTTTAAGAACTCTAAAATTAGGATCTGAAATTATTTCTAAATCTAGTATAAATGCAGCATATTATATTGCAATAAAATTTTTTTCTCTGTCTTTTTTAGCAGGTGGATATGATTGGTAAAATTCTGAAGTCTTGGCTGTGTGGTTCTTTTTTAAAATTTTTATTTAAATTTTTATGCTTATTTTCATAATTTTTTAAATTTAACCCACCATAAGCTTCATTATCTTGAGAACATTTAAAATACTTAGAATTAATATATATCAAAAGACAACTTTCTGTGGATAAGAAGTTTATTAATAACGATAGACAATTACTTTATAATTGGTATTATCACCCATTTGATTTCTATTTGTTTGTTGTATATAAGACCATAAATCCATTTGTCTCCTAGGAAGTAAGGAATTAAGCCACTTAGTGCCCTTTTGTTGTAAGTTGCTGTAAAAAGAGTTCTGGTTACTTAGCAATAAATTGTGACATTTATTTCAGCATATAAGAAAGTTATCATTTCTTGGCCTTACTATCAATCTGCAGTGTTTAGAGGATTATATTTTTTCTTTGTTATTATTTTTTCACTTTCTGAATAAACAACCAGAATTCAGCAGTATTCTAATATGCAACATGGGAATTTACCAATTAATGGGATATACATGAATCTATGGCAAGAGGTGTAACTGTTACTTTTCCTTTTCTTACTCAGTAGGTGAAGGGACTGAGGTTAAAGATTGGCATTTCATTCTTTTTTTTTTTTTTTTTTTTTTGACAGTGCTATTGCTTTTAACATATCTTTCTATCAAGTCTGGTCTCAGTCACCCAGATTAGAGACCTTGCTGTATGTGTACTCTGCCAGGTATATCAGGTTTTTAGTTTTTCACTCAGTAAAACACTGATTCCTATCACTAGGATTTTATCCACTTTGTCAAGAGGGAGAAATTTCTTACTTGACATCACTTGCAGTTTGAATGCACTTTTGTTTTGTTTTGTTTTTGTTTTTGACATAGTCTGCCTCTGTCACCCAGGCTAGAGTGCAGTGATGTGATCTCAGCTCACTGCAATCTCCACCTCCCGGGTTCAAGTGATTTTCCCACCTCAGCCTCCTGAGTAGCTTGGACTACAGGTGTGTACCACCACACTTGGCTGATTTTTGCATTTTAATAGAGATGGGATTTCACCATGTTGGCCAGACTGATCGCAAACTCCTGACCTAAAGCGATCTGCCTGCCTCAGCTTCCCAAAGTGCTGGAATTACAGGCATGAGCCACTGTGCCCAGCCTGAATTCACTTTGATTTTTAGTAGTAGTATAGGATTTTTAATAGTCGTCTTTAATTACTTGAGTGTTCGCGAATCTTTTTTTTTTCCTCTTTTTCTTTTTTTTGTTTGGAAGCACAGTGGTTTGTATTGAGAATCTTTTGTGACAGCCAACTTAGTCTTTTCAGTGTTTGCATTTTATGATCATTGTCTTGGTATAAATAAATCTCACTTTATGCCTTGTTTTCATTACTTTGCCTCATTTTTACCTGATATTTTTAAAAAATTAATTAGTATGGTTTTAATGATTTTTTGTAAAACTTAATTTTATCCGTAATAATTAAGTTTGGATTATCTATTTTATCTTTGGTAGCTGCAGCATCAGGCAATGAGAACATACAACCACCACCATTAGCTTATAAGAAATGGGGTCTACAAGATATTGACACTATTATTGATCATGCTAGTGTTGGTAAGTATTACTAATTAAAATTCTCTTGGAATTTACTTCATATGCTTTTTTACTGAAGTATCTCATTTGTTAGAAATGGACATTTATTTTATTATTATTATTTTGTTTGAGACAGAGTCTCGCTCTATCGCTGAAGCTAAAATGCAGTAGGGCGATCTTGGCTCACTGCAACCTCCGTCACCTCAGCCTTCCGAGTAGCTGAGATTACAAGTGTCCACCACCATGTCTGGCTAATTTTTGCATTTTTGATAGAGACGGAATTTCATTATGTTGGCTGGGCTAGTCTTGAACTCCTGACCTCAAGTGATCTGTCCGCCTCAGCCTCCCAAAGTGCTGGGATTACAGGCGTGAGCCACCATACCCAGCCAACATTTATTCTTTTTTTTTTTTTCTTTTTGTTTATTCACTATCTCCAGTAATGGCTATAAGCAACATTTATTCTTATGTGGAAAAAATGCATTGTTTTTGGTGAGACATCTGGAGGTTCAGATTCAGAGCATCATAGGCTTATATCTTTAAAGCTGGGGATGGTGGCTAACACCTATAAGAGGCTATAATCCCAGCACTTTGGGAGGCTGAGGCGGGTGCATCACATGAGGTCAGGAGTTCAAGATTAGCCCGACCCACATGGTGAATCCCTATCTCTACTAAAAATACAAAAATTAGCCTGGTGTGGTGCACACCTGTATTCCCAGTTACTTGGGAAGCTGAGGCAGGAGAATTGCCTGAACCCAAGAGGCTGAGGTTGCAGTGAGCCAAGAACGCACCACTGCACTCCAGCCTGAGTGATAGAGCAAGACTCTGTGTCAAGAAAACAAAAAAACAAAAAGAAATGGTAGCAGTAGGCCGGGCGCGGTGGCTCAAGCCTATAATCCCAGCACTTTGGGAGGCCCAGGCGGGTGGATCACGAGGTCAAGAGATCAAGACCATCCTGGTCAACATGGTGAAACCCCATCTCTACTAAAAATGCAAAAAATTAGCTGGGTGGCACGTGCCTGTAATCCCAGCTACTCAGGAGGCTGAGGCAGGAGAATTGCCTGAACCCAGGAGGCGGAGGTTGCGATGAGCCGAGATCGCGCCATTGCACTCCAGCCTGGGTAACAAAAGTGAAACTCCGTCTCAAAAAAAAAAAAAAAAAAAAGAAATGGTAGCAGTTTCAATAAAGATTTAATTATGCCCTCAGCCACAGTATTGTATAGTTTTAAATCACTCACTATTTGACTAATTTTTCTACAGACAAATTTGGTCTATATAATGACCATATAATAGCCTTTTAAAAATGTAACCTTGGTCAGGTGTGGTGGCTTGCACCTGTAATCCCAGCTACTCAGAAGGCTGAGGTAGGAGGATCTTTTGAGCTTAGGAGTTCAAGACCAGCCTGGGCAGCCTAGCAAGACCCTATTGCTTAAAAAAAAAAGTAACCTTTAAACCAGTAGAATATAGATAAAAGTAGATTTCTTCTTGCAAACCTGTAAGAGAGCTTACTGTGTTAGGTATTGAGGGCATAAAGATGAAAAGACATGCTTCTCAGCTGTCTGGAAAGTGTGAATCTAGGAGTCTAGTTAGAAGAAACACATGTAAATGGCTACAATAATACATCATAATAATTGTAGCAAAGGGACCAGCTGTAGTGGAGCAGAGGAGGAAACACTGATTGTTTCTCCAGCACACTATACCCTAGATCTGTGTGCATGTTGGCTAGAATGCCTCCTCTATGTTTGTTCACTTGGTCAAGTTCTACTCATTCTTTGCGAACTGGACACTGGGAGAGAAAGAGCAAGGAAAAAAGGAAGGAGTATGACTCAAGAGGGGCTAACAAGGTATCTGACACATAGGCCATCTTTTTATTTACTGCATAGCTCTTATTTGGAATACTCTATAATAAAAACCTATTGGTAAACATTTCAGTGTATCTACTTTTTGCTAGCATAAAAATGCTACAAAATTCCAAAGTGTTGAGTTCAGTTCAGGGGAACTTCCCTGCTCTGTTAATTAAACTTTGGAACATTGAAACTGGCTAGGGAAAATGATTGGATAGAAAATATTATTCTATTCATTTATCCCCAGCCTACAAAATGAAAAAAGGTCCAATAAACGTTACTGTATGTACATCTTTATGTAAAGGTCTGATTAATTTATTCAACAAATAAATGAGTACCTATTAGTATTTGTGCTAGAAATACAAGATAGACAGGACTCCACCCTAGAGAGTAAAGGAAGAGGGTGCTTTAGGTAGACTAGTGAGGAAAGGCCTCTCTAGGAACGTGACATTCAGACTGAGACTTGAAAGATGAGATGGAACCAGCTATTGAAAGAGGTGCAGGAAGAGCATTACAGGCAGAGGAGCATCAGGGATATAGGCGTGGGAGCCTTGAATATTTCAGAGTGCTCAAGAAACAGAAAGGGGGTTGGTGTGACTTGGCCATAAAGAGTGAGGGGAAAACAGGACAAGGTTAGGTTGGAGATGCAGACTAGCGTTAAATCATGTAGGGATAAGGAGGTCAGATTTTATTCTAAATGCAATGGATGTCATTGATGGATTCTAAGTAGGGGATTGCATTTAAACATATCTCTCTGTTTGTTCTTTAGGGAGATGCTTGTAGAAGAAAGCAAGGAGACCAGTTAGGAGTGTATTACAATAATTCATGCAAGAGAAAATGATGGCTTTATGGCGGAGGCACTGGAGTTGGAAGGAAGTAGATAGATTTGAGATACATTTTGTACTTGCTAAGGGATGGTTTTGAGAAATAAGAGGAAGAAAAGAATTAAGGATTTCTTAATTTTTAAGTTTGAGAAACAGGGTGGATGATGACACTGTTTACTGAAATGAGAATAAGGAGGAGGAAAGGAAGAGATTTAAGGTAGGCAAATAATGAGTTATGTTTTTACAGGCTAACTTCTGACACAGTTAGACATTCAAGTAGAGGTATCAAGTATACAAATTGGACATGAGCATCTGAAGTTCAGGGAGGAAGCTAGGATTGTAGATATAAATTTGAGAGGGAGTGATTTACTATGAAATGCTGCATAGAATTCAAGAAAAGAAGATCTGTTGGATTTGACAACCTGGAGTTATTTATTAACTCTTGATATGAACAGTTAAAGTAGAATGGTGAGAATGAAAGCCAAATTAATATAAGCTTAAGAATAAATATTTTCACCCCCTGCTCTCCAAATGACAAACAAGGAGCATAAGAAATAGATACCCAGGCTGGGCGCAGTGGCTCATGCCTGTAATCCCAGCACTTTAGGAGGCTGAGATGGGCAGATCACAAGGTTAGGAGATGGAGACCATCCTGACCAACATGGTAAAACCCCATCTCTACTAAAAAATACAAGAAAATTAGCTGGGCGTGGTGGTGTGCACCTGTAGTCCCAGCTACTTGGGGGTGCTGAGTCAGGAGAAACGCTTAACCCTGGGAGGCAGAGGTTGCAGTGAGCTGAGATTGTGCCACTGCACTCCAGCCTGGAGACAGTGAGACTTCATCTCAAAAAAAAAAGACAAGGAATAGATTCCTCGTTTCTCCATTTTTATGGAGTCTTGACCTCTTTCTGAAGCCTCATACTCATTTTTTTTCCAGCTCCCTAGTGAACAATTTCTACCTAGATATCAAACTTAACATATCCAAAATTGAATTCTTAATTTCCTCCTGTCAATCTTGCTCCTCCTTTTTTTCCCACATCATCTTTCTTCTCCTGGTTGCTCCTCACCATGACATACAAGACCCAACCTTATCTGGCTTATGGTATTCTGACACTGTCTCCTGCAGTATACCCCTCCCTGTGCATTGTGTTTCATCACGTGGCTCTCCTTTGTGTTCTTCATGCAGGAAGGATATTCCCACTCTAGAGCATTTAGAATTACTACTTCCTCTGCCTGGAAAACTTTAGCTAGCATGGCTTTCTCTCTCTCTTCACTCAGGTCTCTGTTTATATATCACTTTGTCAAAGAGGCCTTCTTTAGCCACTCTACTAGTCCTAGAAAATCATCCAATGAGTTTGACTTTATGAAAATTTATATTGAGAGGGACTGATGCATTTCAAAGTGTGGAAAGGCCTCAGATGCTCCGGGAAAACTCTAAATGACAAAGTAATAATAACTCCAGAAAACAAATGCACAGCCAGGGAAATATAATAAGTAGTGAGTCTCAGCAGTGAGTTCTATCATTCCTAATAATGAAAACAGTGAATTTAATAAATTGAGATACAAATATTTTGGAAGGATATAGGGAGAGGAAGAGATATAAATAAGCCACCACCTTAAGTTAGTGAAAAATAGTGCTAAAATCGGTGACTCGAAAGATAACAACCCCCTAAATTCAGTACCAATATGTAGCAATATAGAGGGCAGAAAAACACTTAAATAATACTATAGGAATGTAGTCAGCAAAATGCAGACTGTGGGAAATTGGTCTCAAACAGCCTTGTTTCTTCAACAACCAGATTTCAAAGAATCAAGGGTGGGAAGGAGAGTTGAGGGGGTCAGAAGGATTTTGGACCAACCTTTATGTCTATTTGTTTGTGGTCCTTACTCTGAAACCCAGAGATATTGTTTTTCTTAGCAATGATCAGCTATTTTGCTTCAAGAGCAGAGAGTGCAGAAAGTTTAGGTCAACCAAGGTTAAGATTTGGCCAGGTGGGTATATGTGTAGGGGGAGACAAGTGTAGGGAGGTTGTAGGTATTTACGAGAAAGTGGTGATGATGGAACACAAATCTAAGCTGGATAAAAAGGGAAGTGATCCCAAGAGGTACTTGATAAATAGTGGAAAAAATAGATTAATTATTTGAAACTCGAAATTGTGAAATTACTGCAGGGAGTTTCTACAGTAATTGAGATGGAAAGCTAGGAGGTGGTGGTCTAAGTGTGGTATGTTTGGCATCAAGGTTACAAAGAATCTATAGATTCTTTTGACAGGAACTAAAGCATGACATTGAAAATGTAAATGTAAATCTGTAGATTTGCATTATAGAAGGAAAAGGTTTATGTTATAGAAGGAAAAGATATTGGTGGCAAGGGTGGAAAGAACTGATCGGCCATTTCCTTACTATAAAATAGAATCCTTTAAAAAATTTATATCTGTTACAGAATTGTCCTGTGGATTATCTTGTATCAGTTTACACTGCCATGTGTATTGCATGGGGAATATGCAAAGAAGCTATTTTAAAACTTAAATTTCAATTTATATGTCATACAATTTACTCTTTGATCATGTTCTGGTGGAGTCAGGCAAAATTTATGCAAATTTTATAATGTAGTGAAAACATTTTGTCTACTGAATCATGGATTCATTCATGACTATGAGACAGGTGTTCTGATCTTTTATAATATTCTAGGAAGTGGGACGGGAATTAAAAAAATAGTCTAAGGATTCGTTTGATCACTTTAATTCCTGTAAATCCAGTGAATGTTTCGTTTATAAACTCACTAAAAGAATTTCCTTTCCTAGGACTCATCTTAATTACAAATTCATTATTTGACAGTTTTCAGGCAAAGGGGAGGCAATACATGTGTATGAAAATTAGTAATGTCGGGCACAGCAGCATGCCCCTGTAATTCTAGCCCTTTGGGAGGCCACAGTGAGTGGGATCGCTTGAGCTCAGGAGTTCAAGACCAGTCTGGGCAACATAGCAAAACCCTTTCCCTATGAGAAATAAAAAAATTAGTCATGTGTGGTCACCTGTGCCTGTAATCCCAGCTACTTGGGAGGCTGGAGCGGGATGATGGCTTGAGCCCAGAAGGCCGAGGCTGCAGTGAGCCGTGGCCGTGCCATTGCACACCAACCTGGGTGACAGAGACAGACCCTGTTTAAAAAAAAAAAACGTATGTGGAACAATAGAAACTGTAAATTGAGGCCGGGCGCGGTGGCTCAAGCCTGTAATCCCAGCACTTTGGGAGGCCGAGGCGAGTGGATCACAAGGTCAAGAGATTGAGACCATCCTGGTCAACATGGTGAAACCCCGTCTCTACTAAAAATACAAAAAAAATAGCTGGGCGTGGTGGTGCGTGCCTGTAATCCCAGCTACTCAGGAGGCTGAGGCAGGAGAATTGCCTGAACCCAGGAGGCGGAGGTTGCGGTGAGCCGAGATTGCGCCATTGCACTCCAGCCTGGGTAACAAGAGCGAAACTCCGTCTCAAAAAAAAAAAAAAAAAAAAAAGAAACTGTAAATTGATTCATTCTATGGTATATTTGAGTTCAGGTTATCTCAATGGGGGTGTCTTCACGTATTGTATGAGTACTCAAGTTTGAAGACACTGCCTGAGTCCACATATGTTAGAATAGCAGCAGTTCCTTACTTCCTAGCTCTCTAAGCTCAGTTTCCCCTCTTCTCTCTGCCAGTCAGGTGAAATTAAATGACACTGGGTTTTCCTCTGCTACTCTACCAAGGCATATGGCTATCAACATTCAAACTATTTTTGCCCTTAGAGTTTTAAGGGAATGAAAAGTAAGTCTCTGTTATGAAACATTGGGGATTTCTGAACTACAGAGCAGACATTCAAAAGTGTGTGTTCTCACTGTTTTGGAATGATACAGAGCACAAGTAGTCTCAGCTTTTTTTGTGGGAGTATAAGTTAGCGCCATCTTTATGGAATGCAGTGTGGTAGTACTTAAAAATTTTTTTAAAGGCCGGGCGCAGTGGCTCACGCCTGTAATCCCAGCACTTAGAGAGGCTGAGGCGGGTAGATCATGAGGTCAAGAATTCAAGACCAGCCTGGCTGAGATGGTGAAACCTCGCCTCTACTAAAAATACAAAAGTTAGCCAGGCCTGTTGGAGGGTGCCTGTAATCCCAGCTGCTCGGGAGGCCATGGCAGAGAATTGCTTGAACCTGGGAGGTGGAGATTGCAGTGAGCCGCGATAGTGCCACTTCACTCCAGCCTTAGTGACAGGGGAAGACTCCATCTCAAAAATATATATATATATATATATTTTTTTTTTTGAGACTGAGTTTCGCTCTCGTTACCCAGGCTGGAGTGCAATGGCGCGATCTCGGCTCACCGCAACCTCCGCCTCCTGGGTTCAGGCAATTCTCCTGCCTCAGCCTCCTGAGTAGCTGGGATTACAGGCACGCGCCACCATGCCCAGCTAATTTTCTGTATTTTTTTTTAGTAGAGACGGGGTTTCACCATGTTGACCAGGATGGTCTCGATCTCTTGACCTTGTGATCCACCCATCTCGGCCTCCCAAAGTGCTGGGATTACAGGCTTGAGCCACCGCGCCCGGCCAAAAAATATTTTTAATGTAGATCCTGTTTGACCCTGCACTAATGTTTTTAAGAATTTATGTATATAGGTACATTATAGATAGATGTATATAGGTGTGCAAAGACATTAAGGATATATATATTGTAGAATTCTTTGTAGTGCCCAAAGATGGGAAATGACCCAAATGTCCACCAGTAGGTCAGATCAATTATGCTATGTCTATATAATAGAATACTAAGAATGATTGAGAAGAATGATGTCTTCTTGATGTTTTGTTAAACACAAAAAGTGAGGCACGCATCAACTTATTTGATGGTCTGTCATTTGTGTGTATACAACATCTCTGGAAGACAGCATAAGAAACAATTATATTGGTTGTTGCTACTAAAAAGCAAATTAGGGCCGGTGCAGTGGCACACGCCTGTAATCCCAATACTTTGGGAGGCTGAGGTGGGCGGATCACCTGTGGTCAGGAGTTTGAGACCACCCTGGCCAACATGGCGAAACTGTGTCTACTAAAAATACAAAAATTAGCTGGGCATAGTGGCACACGCCTGTAGTCCCAGCTATTCAGGGAGGCTGAGGCAAGAGAATCACTTGAACCTGGGAGGCAGAGGTTGCAGTGAGCTGAGATCACACCATTGCACTCCAGCCTGAGTGACAGGGTGAGACTCCATCTCAAAAAGAAAAAAAAAAAAAGATGTGAATTGGTACTTGGGGATATAAATGGACTATATACTTCTGGTACCTCTGAGTTTTGTATCTATTCAAAAAATTAAGTTTTGGTTTTATTCTATAGGTTATAGAAATTATAGATGGAATTTTTAATTTTGGGGTGGGAAACGAGGTCTTGCTCTGTTGCCCAGGCTGGAGTGCAATTGTTGTGGTCTTGGCCCACTGCAACCTCCACCTCCCATGTTCAAGCAGTTCTCCTGCCTCAGCCTCCCAGATGGCTAAGATTATAGACACCCACCACCACACCTGGCTAATTTTTGTATATTTAGTAGAGATGAGGTTTCACCATGTTGTCCAAGCTGGTTTCGAACTCTTGACCTCAAGTGATCAACCTGCCTTGGCCTCTCGAGTGTTAGGATTACAGGAGTGAGCCACTGTGCCCAGCAAAATATTTTCTGATGTTGATTTTGTAGCTCTTAAAATGACTTTTGTTTGAATAAAACTAAGGGTTTAGCATCTTAGAATGGAGCTGAAGTAAAAATGTAATGGCCAAAATAACATTGTACATTCAAATCACGTTTTTTTTTTTTCTTTATCATTAGGTATTATGACTCTGTCCCCCTTTGATCAAATGAAGACTGCCTCCAATATAGGTGGATTTAATGCAGCAATTAAAAATAGTCCACCTGCCATGTCTCAGTATATCACTGTAGGGTCCAATCCATTTACCGGCTTCTTCTATGCTTTAGAGGTATGAGTTTTATCACTGATCATGAGGAAGGCAACTCTTGATTTTACAACTTGTCTACAAATTGGATATGCTAACTTGCTTAGCTTTAGAAGATTAAGCAGTTCACGTTTCTAAATTTCAATTGAAACTAACATTAATCTCAACTAGCTTTCTTCCAAATTCTTTAGATTAACTAAAAAGGTACTAAAATCAGTATAAAAGAAAATTCTTTGTTTCTGAAGCCCTGAGTTCTTTGATAGCTGAGATTTCTTTAAATATTGCTGCAGTAGTCAGAAGCTCAGGCTTGTTAATGATGTCAGCCCACTAGGGATTTGAGTAAATGAGGAATTTGTAAAGACAGAACAAGCTGCCAACTATGCTTGTTATAAGTGGTGAAAATTGCTTCCTAAAATAGGGGAAAGTTGAGTGTTAGATTTGGCAGCTCTTGTTTCTCACTTAAAAAGCATGCTTCTCAGAATTGTCCAAAATATCTTTTTACTTTTATAAAAATGTGTGTGTATGTGGGTGCATATATATATATATATAGAGAGAGAGAGAGAGAGAGAGAGAGAGAGAGAGAAGAGTTGGCTAGTCCAGCTAGAATAATGTAATGTTAATATCCTAGTTTAAAATTTATTTTAATGAATTGGAATTTAAAGAGGGAAATTCTAATGGTAACATAGGCTAATGGTGATTTTATTTTTAAACTATACAGTTAAAACTTTTTATTATATTGCTCCTAAAATAAACTTTTTACTGTACTCTGAAAGAAGCTGAGTTGGTAGTCCAGCCTTTACAACTTTTCAAAGTATTTTAAAGTAAGCTTTATTTAGAAAGTATGTTTGTTTTTTTGTAAGCTACTGAATTTTCTTTCAAATGTTCTGTTTTTCAGGGAAGCACACAACCGTTATTATCCCATGTTGCACTAGCAGTTGCAAGTAAACTCACTTCTGCTTTATTTAATGCTGCCAGGTAATTACTTAACAATTAAATAAAAAATATCTAATTTGTATCTAGCTTGCTTTTAACCTATATTTTGGTAGCTTGGACTTTAAAACCCTGAAAGCTCAGTTTTATTCTAAGTTTTCTTTCTTTTCAGTGGTTGGCTTGGTTGGAAAGGTAAGCATGAAGAAGAAGCTGTCCAGAAGCAAAAGCCAAAGGTTGAGCCAGCTACCCCATTAGCTGTAAGGCAAGTCTGTCATGCTTCTCAAATTTTAGTCCTTTTAGAAAAGTACTGTTATATTTATGGTCTTTTCATTTGCTTGGTTGATTTGCTGATCTCATAAGACTTTGGAACTTCTGAAAGCCATTACAGTGGGATGTTTTTCCCTCACTAGAATGTAAAACTCTATGTGAAGAGTGATTCTTACCTGTTTTGTTCACAGCTGTATCCCTGTTATATAGTAGGTATTCAAGATGTATTTCTTAAATGTGCTTATTAACAAATAAACTTAGCTTAGTTGTAGGAGAATTGGTTTAGTGATAGCTGTTGAATGTCTTTGAAAAGTTTAGTTTGTTATTAAGTTATATAAACTTTAAAAGTTCTTAGTGATTTCTTATAAAAAAAATAAAATCTTGGTAGATTACAGTGGCTCACGCCTATAATCCTAGCACTTTGGGAGGCAGAGTTGGGTGGATCACTTGAGGTCAGGCGTTTGACAACAGCCTGGCCAACATGGTGAAACCTAATCTCTACTAAAAATAGAAAAATTAGCCAGGCTTGGTGACACTTGCCTGTAATCCCAGCCACTCAGGAGGCTGAGGCAGGAGAATCACTCAAACCTGGGAGGCAGAGGTTGCAGTGAGCCAAGATCGCTCCATTGCACTCCAGCCTGGGGGACAAGAGCAAAACTCAGTCTCAAAAAAAAAAGTAAAAACAGGAGTCGTGTATTCAAGCAATCTTTAGACAAGACTCCTGGCCTGTACTTCCTTGTTTATTTCAGTAGTGCTTTAGAATGTATTAGTGTATTTGTGAGATATTTTTTTTTTTGGTGGAAGGAGCATGATTTTTGTTTCTTTTTTATTAGTATTTTTTAGACAGAGGGATTTTTTCTAATGTTTGGTTTTGTTTTAAAATCATTTTTTATCACCTAATATAAAGTGCCACCATGAAGGGAAATAGTTCTGTTTATTTATCCTCCTTTTTATGGATATTCTTCACCTAAAGAGAGCCAACTAATTATTAAAATTTATTGTATATCATCTAAGTTTTTTTCATCCTTTTAAAAAATATATTGTAGCATATCACGTTTCCTAATATCAAGAATCAAGAAATTAGCCAAATGGCCCTGTGAATCTCAAATAGATGTAACAAAGTTTGAGCATCTTTGTTTCAGGGACTTTTCTCAAAGTGAGTTTCCTAGTTCTTTTTTAGTACCTCTTTACTTTTATTTTACTCACAATTTTAATGAGGTCAATTGTAGACCAACAGCAGTTTAGAGATAACTATTTAGAAAAAGAAGAGTTTTTGCTTCAGGCAGATTGGTTTCAGCAGGATCTGATATCTTACAAAAAAGAGAAAGATTAGGAATAAGAACTTAAGATAGACAGAGATACCTGTGTGGGAGCAAATTCTCAAATTTAGTTGATGGTGAGGACATTATTTTGTATGGCATAACTCTTAATCAAATAAAGGTATACTTTATATTCTCTAAAGGTGTAGGGTTGTGGGTATCTATTGAAAACCTACATAGAACTGTGTTTTTATTTCTTTTATATATCTTATGTTACAAATGTCAGTTGTGATTAATAAATTAACTATTAATCCAGGCAAAATTCATATTTCTTTATATAAAAACAGATTCAGCCTATTTTATTTATGCATTTTATTATTCTGTTACATGTTTCTGAATTGGAATGTGATTTGAGCTTTTATTTTCTTTTTAAATATCAGATTTGGACTTCCGGATTCTAGACGCCATGGTGAAAGCATATGTCTGTCTCCGTGTAACACGCTGGCAGCAGTAACAGATGATTTCGGCAGAGTTATTTTACTGGATGTAGCTAGAGGAATTGCAATACGCATGTGGAAAGGTACTTCTTACAACAATCCAGAAAAACAATTACTTTTTACCCCAATAGTTGAGCAGTGTTATAATCCTTCAGTTTCTGGTTGATAATTCTGTTTAATTCTTTATGTTTACGTGTTTTTATTTTTTGGACGTGAACTCGGATCAGCAACCACTTGATCGAGTAGTCAGTTGATACATTCTTAAGGTTTGATCACCTCATAGCCATGTTTAACCTTTACCTTATGCACTTTCTTTCAATTCTCACTGTCATTGTCAATTTCTGAGTTCAGTTTCTTGCTCCTGCTACATTTATTCCCCTTCACAAAGCCATTCTTGAGCCAAATATTCTTCCCAAATCTATAATGCCAAGTCTTTCAGATTTAAAATAGCAAAACCCATGTTCACTTACTTGACTTTTATATCCATATGCTTGGGTCAATTCACCTGGTGTGTCAATAAGTATGTCACTTGGGAGTTTCATTCAGCTGTTAGTAACAGACCTGAGTAACAGACCACAGTGTCTTCATGCGTGCAGTCTTCTTCCTTGTAGCTTCCCCACTCAAGGTTCTCATAGACAGCCCTCTTAGCTGCATTCCAGGAAGGAAGCAGAAAGGAAGACGGCTTCTCCTGACAGCTGACTCAGTCTGCTCTGAGGATATTCCCCAAAGTCTCTTCAACCATTATCTACATTAGCCAGGACTTAGTGACATGGCCTCATCTAACTATAAGGGAGACTTGAAAATATCTTTTAACTGGGCACATTGTCAACCCCTGAATAAAATAATATCTCCCTGACTAAGAAGGGATGATTACATTATTTAGAATCATCTGGAATAGTAACATGTCAGTGTAGACCACAATTTATGGTGCAATCTTGTCTGTCCTTTAAAATCTGTGGAATTATGGATTGAGGTCATTAAATTACTCTGGACAGATTGAAGCCACTGTCACCTTCTTGCCAAAGAACTCCTGCAGTGACAGACAGAGGCAGGCAGTCTTTACCTACTACATGTCTAAGTGTCTGTAGAAATAATTTTAGTACTGCAGATATATCATTTCTTTTTGGTGTTTGTCTTCTGAAACAATATCAAAGGTGTGTTCTCAGCAAGACTTTTCTAAAATACAGAAAACAAAGCTGTACTGACTGCTCCAAATCCCCTGTGGCAATCTTATTCCTTACATCATTGCCTGTCTTTCTGCAGCTGGTGCATTCAGTTTTCTTTCCATTGTGTACTTGGAAAGAAGGATCAATTGCCTATAAGAGGGGGGCCACCCTAAAATGGAAGACAGCATCAGCTACTTCTCCCGTGCAGGGCCTTCCTCCTGTCGCCTTATAGCCCATATTTTTTCTCTATCTGCATATCACCAAACGGCTTGGTTGGGAAGGGGAGGGAATGGGATCAGGAGGGGTAATCAGGTAGCTTCAATTATATCTATAATCTTTTCTGTTCTTGAGTTTTGCTCTTGTTACCCAGGCTGGAGTGCAATGGCGCTACCTCTGCTCACTGCAACCTCTGCCTCCCAGGTTCAAATGATTCTCCTGCCTCAGCCTCCCAAGTAACTAGGATTACAGGCATGTGCCACCTCGCCCAGCTAATTTTTTTGTGTTTAGTAGAGATAGGGTTTCACCATGTTGGTCAGGCTGTTCTTGAACTCCTGATCTCAGATTATCCACCTGCCTTGGCCTCCCAAAGTGCTGGATTTATAGGTGTGAGCCACTGCGTATTTTCTTTTTACAAAGAAAAAGTGATCAGAAGTAAATATAGCAAAGTACTAAGATTTGATACATCTTAGTGATAGACTGGTTATTATTTATTATTTTTTATTTAAGCTATTCCATAATAAAAAATATTTACTTTTATAGCTTTTCTTACTTCACCCCCACTATTCCAGAGTACTTCAGGAGGCTGCTGTGGAACCTAGATTAAGTAATTAACTCCCTTTTCCCTCTATCTTTAAGGGTACCGCGATGCACAGATTGGATGGATTCAAATTGTAGAGGACCTCCATGAAAGAGTACCAGAAAAGGCAGAGTTTTCTCCCTTTGGAAATTCTCAGGGCCCAAGTCGAGTAGCTCAATTCCTTGTGATCTATGCTCCAAGAAGGGGAATTTTAGAAGTGTGGAGCACACAGCAGGGACCTAGAGTAGGAGCTTTCAATGTGGGGAAGCACTGCAGGTAAGCTGCAAATGCTGGCATTGTGCTGGCTACAAAATGAAAACTAGGAATGCTTTTATTAAAATAAAGCTTTTACTAAAGCTCCTTATTAGATTACAAGTTTGAGAATTACAATATTCTTTATTGTGGTTTTCCCTGTGAGTGCCTGGTTTATAATTATTTAATAACCAAAAAAAAAAAGTTGAAAATGCCATGATAACGCTCGCTACTGAATTAAAGTTAGCTCTTTGCTGACATTTGTCCCTGACTTATGCTGTGAAGGCTCAAAAGGAAAGGTTCCTTCAGATTGCCCTAGTGATAAGTGAAGTGAATGCTTTGTTTGCCATTGAAACCTGGGCCTGATTGCATTCATTTTATTTTATAGAATCTTTTAACAAAGCAGAACTCTGCTAGTTGAGCCCTGCTCTACTTACGTGTTTGCTATCAGTATTTAGTTGCCATATTAATGCTCCTAAATTGATGATAATGTTGGGTTCTGTAGCTATAATAAAAGCACTTTTTGGCATTTCTCCTTGTTCTAATATTTTTACCATATTGATATGTGGTTTTTTTAGGCTACTGTATCCTGGATATAAAATAATGGGCTTAAATAATGTTACCAGTCAGAGTTGGCAGCCACAGACTTATCAGATCTGTCTTGTTGATCCAGTGTCTGGAAGTGTGAAAACAGTGAACGTTCCCTTCCATTTAGCACTGAGGTAAGGTGTATCCAGTGTTGCTGATTGATGCTTCTCTGCTAACTTTTCTTAGTTCCTAGGTTTGTTGTACTCTGCTTTATAGTTGCTATTTTGTTGTTTCCTTTGTCTTTAGACTGATATCTTTGAAGTTAAATAGGAAACACATAAAGGAAAAAATAGTTGGAGTACGTCAGAGTTAGAAAGAAAACAATTTCATATTCTGTAAGAATTTGTTATATTTATTGTTTTAGTGATAAGAAGAGTGAACGAGCCAAGGATATGCACCTAGTGAAGAAACTAGCAGCCTTACTGAAAACAAAATCCCCCAATCTTGGTAGGTATTCTGTCGTACTAATAATAAAGCATATTGTTCTATCATCTTTTGAATCAATAAAATATTCTGAATGGAGCAATCAAAATAATCCATGGATGAGCCCAACTCCTTTTCAGAATGAGGTGAGGTACAAGTGATGCAAGTGATCACCTGTACTTGTTGGAATTGCTCTGTAAGGATGAAGTCTGCCATCTAGAGGGTGTTATAATTTATAGCAAGGAAACATTAATGTGAGAGAACTCAAAAATCCTTTAGACTCATTGATAGTATAGATGTGTTCATTTTCTTTCAGAATAATGTTTCACTGTTATAAAAATTAAAATTTTACCTTGATTAATTTTTTCTTTATAGATTTGGTTGAAACAGAAATAAAGGAATTAATTCTTGATATTAAATACCCTGCAACCAAAATACAAGTAAGTGTTTATAATACGTGAACTTTCCTGCTATGCTATAATACATCCTCCTTAAAATCTTTATTTTCCTATTTCCCCCAAACATGGCAGGCTGAAGTCTTCTTTTCATGTTTTTATTGTTTATCCCTTTCTATATTTTCATGTGGAAGTTCCTGTTATCTCATTAAAAAATATATATATATATTACCATACATCTGAGTGTGTTTTATATACACACACATACACATCCCTACATTTTATATATACATATATATATATATATATATGAAATATGTGTGTATGACCACCCACCTTAGGAAATACAATCTTACCAGGAACTCTAAAAGAGTGTTCCTCCTCAGTCCCATTCCCTTCTCTCATCCCTAAGGTAACCGCAATTTAGAATTTTGTTGTTCTTTCTTTTTCTTTGTTTTATAGTTACATCATTTCTGTGTGGCTTCTTTGAAACCTGTTGATGCATTTCCTGCCTTTACAAACTTTATATAAATGGAGTCATGCCCTATGTCTTCTGTGACTAGTTTTTCCTTCAGGATTATGTTTCTGTGTCATTCATATTAGTGTATGTAGCTATCGTTGTAATTCATTCATTCACTATGCCATACAAATTCCACTTGCTGACTAATATTTATTCACTGTCCTGTCAGTGAACAGTTAGATTGTTTCCAGATTTTTCCCATTACAAACAATGATGCTTTGCTTATCTGTGTACATATTTCCTCATGTACATATTTCCTCATGCAAGAGTTTCTCTGGAGTTTATACCTAAGAGTGGAATTGCTAGGGTGTGAGCTTCCTCAGCTGTACTAGTTGATAGCAAATTGTTTCTCAAAATAATTGTGCTAACTTATATTCCCACTTGTTCTGTATGAGTCCCTGTTACTCCCCAGTCTCAACATTTCATGGTATTGCTAGACTTTTACTTTTTGCCAGGCTCGTGGTTATTATATGGTCACCGTGGGTGATTTCTTTTACTCCCACTCCTCCTATCCAAAGCCCTCATAATGCTATTCAAGTCCTAACTCTATAAATTCTTACTTAATGCTTCGATCTACATGGATAATTCTGAACTTCTGCTCTACTTTCAGTCAGAGCTGGATACTTAATGACTACTTATTTTCTAATTATCTCATATGTATTAGTCATAACTCCCCCAACTTTTTTTTTCTTTAGGCCTTTTAAGCTCCTTCAAGTAGGAACCTTACCAAATACTTGAGTTTTATAATTCACAGCATCTAAAATAATGCTACTGTGAAAATAGAAGAAAAAAACCGTATCACAGTGGTTTTTTTCTTTTCTCTTAAACACAGTCACTCAACACTTCTGCCACTAGATGTTGGGCTTCTTTTCCCCCGCCCCACACCAGTCAATTTCTTTGGGAGATTTTCCATCTAACACCAGCTGGTTATTCTCTAATTCAGTTCAATTATGACACCATCTGCCTGAAGATAATAGCATGAGATCATCACCACAAGTTAAGAGCTCAGTCCTACAAGACTTCTACCTACTTCAGATGCCAGTCACAAGTAGTAGGTTGTCAGCTATATATCTGATTGACTGGCTATAAAATGGTGTTCCTATGACACCCCTCTTTGGGGTTCATCTAGAGCAATTCACAGAACTCAGGGAAACATTTTACTTAGTTTACCCATTTATTAAAAGGATAATACAGAGGGTAGAGATGAACAGCCAGATGGAAGGGCTGCATAGCATCAATCATATGGGATGGGTTGCAGAGCTTCTGTTTCCTCTCCTGGCAGGCCACTATTCAGGAACCTCTACATGTTCAACCTCTACTATCCAGGAGTTCTTCCAAACCTTGTCCTTTTGGGTGTTGATAGAAGCTTCATTATGTAGGCGTGATTGATTATATCATTGGCCATTGGTGATTAACTCAGTCTTCAGCCCCTCGTGGTTCCCCAGAGGTCAGGGATTGGGCTAAAAGTTCCAATCCTCAAATATATGGTTGGTTCCACTGGCAACCAACTCCTTATTCTGAAGCTTTCCAGGAGCCCAGCATGAGAGGCTTCATTTAGAACAAAAGAGTCTCTGAGGAATTTAGAGGAAATTAGAGGTCTTAGAAGCTCCCCATTAGAAACTGGGGGTCAAAGACCAAATGTTAGAACAAAAAGTTTGCCTAGCACCTCTGTCCACAAAGGGATTAAGAGTTCTGACTCATGAACTAGGGCAGAGACCAAACATTAGAACAAAATAAACTCCTAGCACCCCCATTATTCAGGAAATTACAGGAACTCTGTGTCAGGTACTGGGGCCGTAGACCAATATGTATGTTTCTTATTATTTTACAGCTACATACATGGGAGGATTTAGTGAATAGTGATTTCTGTTACAGTCAGTTTTTAAAACACTTTTTATTGTGTTATTGTAGAACAGAAAAGTCTGTGTGATTTTTAATCGTGTTTTCCATTCTACTGACAATGCTAATTGGCTCTCATTTTCCTCAGGGCAAAGACTCAGTTATTAAAGATGACATGATGACGACAAAGTGGGCATCTAGAGAGACAGTTTGAGACCTCTGTAGTCGAAAGGGCCATAACCCACACAGTTCTCATTTTGATGCCATCTTTCTTCTTGTTTTAAATTGTAGAATAACAAAATTGGGAAACCAGCATAATGCAAACTGTCTTCTTGATTTTTTTTTTTTAAACAATACTTCTGAATCATGTATGAAGCTGTGAATTTTATTAAAAACACTGGAAAACCCAGTAACAAAAGTTATATGTCTTGTGAGACTGACTAAAGGGAGGGAAGAAACCAGTTTAGGCTTTGGGAGACTGAATAATGAGGAAGACGGTAAGCTAGCTGCTAGCCTGTGTAATCATAGGCGGAACAGGAGCAGGTTATGCTTGTCCTGGATACTTGCCTCTTTTAGTTACTTTCTTTATTGCTTCCAGGTAGTTGCTTCATTATAGGCCTGACCAACGTCTTGAGCCACCCTCTAAGCCCATTTCTCCTGGACAAACACACAGAGGTTCTTGTGTTATGATTGGATATTTGCCTCATCCCACATTCTCAGCCTACTTTTTAAACTATTTAATCTCATTGATTAAAATCCAATTTAATGTGCTAATATGAAAGGATAAATGTGACCTTTAACTGCTGTGTCTAACTCATTGATGTTTCTGATACTTGCTACTTTAGGCATGAAGAGATATTTTGGGACTGGTTATGAAGAATCTTAAATATCTGTGGGGGTGAGGAGAGAGAGGTAGGGTAGGGTAGGTACTGTATCTATCTAGCATGGCCTGTAGATTCTGTCTGCCATGCACAAATGCAGTAATTAAGCTATAACTAAGTTGTTGGCAGCTTTTGTTATTGACGTGACAATAACCTCTGCTTTTCATTTATGCCTAGATAGTATAGGCATATTCAAACTCTTGGTAAATAGCTTGTCTTTGTTTCTGTTTGGATTTGGCTATTCTGTTAAGTAGCTGTTGTCTTCTAGTAGTTTTATTCTCAGCCTGGACTTTTTGTCATTTATATCATATTTGGTGACATGAAGTTGATTGTATATTACTTAACAATGCAACTTGAGATTTAAGGTATGTACACTAAAACATCTTAAATATAGAGCTTTCCTTTGAAATTTGAGGTAGTGAAAGTGCGGGCATAAATACAAGATAAAAAAAATCATTGCCTTATAATTACTAGAATTATTCAATATCTTTCTTCTAGGCTTTGGAAAGCATTTTGGCAAGTGAACGTTTACCATTTTTTTGCCTTAGAAACATCACTCAGACTTTAATGGACACTTTAAAAAATCAAGGTAATAGAGTTTGTACTGATAGGAGGTTATGTTCTCAACTCAAATTTTCTAACTCTGATTATAGAAAGCTACTGACTTTATGATACCATCATGTTACTTTAATGGAAGATATATATAGATATATGTGTATATGAAATGAGGAATCTTATTTATTCCCTGTTTAATGTATGTAGTTGATCTTCATCTAAGCTATCTGTGAATGCATTGACTGTTTGTTATTGGAAAGGTTTTTTTTTAATTGTGAGGAAAGATGTCAGTATAGAATGATAAGCTGTTTTTCTTATCTAGCTGTAGAACATTGTGAAAGCCATTGTAATGAAGGCAAGTTACCTGGTGGTATGGGAAAAACAACCAAGTTCTCTTGCTGCCGTTGTCTTTTCTTTAGCTTCACAAGAGGGAACAGATTTCTCTAGTGGGGCACATAGTGTCATTTTGATCAAGATAATAATAAAAAATATTTGTACTTTGTATTAATGTTCTGTTAGTGTATAACATCTGTATTTTCCCATCAGTTTCCCTCCTGAACAGAGTTAAGGACTTCCAAAATCACAGACAACAATCAGATTGTTAGTTCTGAATTTTCTGATCGTTTTTTGCTGCTCAAAATTTGTCTGTACTATCACATTATTCTTTAAAAATCAATCAATCAATCAGTCAAAATGTATTTTTCTGAAAAGGGATTACACTTGAAACTGGGGTTGTAACACCATATTCCATCCAACTGAACTAGTAAAAATTCAATTTATTCTTAACTCCTGACATCAGTTAAATTGTAGTGTTCAGTGGACTGGTATCATCTAGTTGTGACTTTTGCTTGTCATATTAATTGTGTAAAACCAGCTTTGTGTTTTAATTATGTGTAAGCCAGCTTAAAGTGGCTTACTAAACAAATTATAATTTGTTCTTTCAGGGCTTCAAACATCCTAATTTTGAGACTCTTGTTCAACCATTTTTTAACAGATACATAAAACTGACATTGGCAAATAGTGAACTCCTTTAGTGTATACCACTTGTCAGAAATAAACACCTCTTTTTAAAAGTATAGTATACTTATAAAGCCCTCCTACCCCTCAAGGCGTTAACAAAATCCCAAAATGTGGTAAGTGAAAAGTTGTCTTTCACTGGTCTTGTAGTAAACCAAATACCATTGTTGGAGCTCTACAAAATCATCAGTTTCAAGCTCTATGTAAAATTGAAATTCCTAAAAACTTTAATTATTTTGTATGGTCGATTTTATTATGGCTCTAAGAACTTGAACAATATTTCATGATACTATATTTAAAATAAGATTTGGGGGGATTTTCAGTGTCTCCCTTTTTTAAGAATAATTTGTTTTATAATAGATATAAATATTGATACAGTATATAAATTATGGAGTCAGGGAAAATCTTTTCAAAGGTATTTCCAGATAATTTCTTTAAATTTTAAGTATTACATGAAAATATTTCTGCCTTCCTTTTTCTTCTTTTTTATCCCCCTACTTTTAGAGCATTTTATTTTATTTAAAAAGTTAGACGTTTTGTCATGACAGAAAAATTATCTTTGCTTTCAAAATCTGGTATAGCTTAAGCATCTCAATATTTAATACATCAGAGCATCAGGGAATTATGTAATATTGAGAGATTTAATGAAAGAAAAGCCTGTTTATGAGTCTGTTAAACATATCTCTTAAATATACTTTTCCTTCCTTTTAGAATTTGAGTCTGTGGACGAAGGATTGCTGCAGTTTTGTGCCAATAAACTAAAATTGCTGCAACTTTATGAGTCTGTCAGTCAGTTAAATTCCACTGATTTTCATTTAGACACACCATTCTCTGATAATGTGAGTAATCCCAAATTTTATATTATATAAAATAATCTCTCTGATTCGTTTAACTTTTTAAAATCAGTAGTAAAGAAGTAGAAAATAAAGAATTATTTTTGGCAGGGTGCAGTGGCTCATGCCTGTAATCTCAGCACTTTGGGAGGCCGAGGTGGGCAGATCACAGGTCAGGAGATCGAGACCATCCTGTCTAATATGGTGAAACCCCGTCTCTACTAAAAATACAAAAATTAGCTGGGCGTGGTGGCACATGCCTGTGATCCCAGCTACTCGGGAGTCTGAGGCAGGAGAATCACTTGAACCCAGGAGGCCGAGGTTGCAGTGAGCCGAGATTGTGCCACTAGGTGGCACAGAGTGAGACTTTATCTCAAAAAGAAAAAGAAAAAGAATTTTTTTTAAAGCTTTAAAGGTATGTTTTCTTTACCAAGCCTCCTGGTAGCTCTCTGTACCTTTCTGATAAATTTACATTATTTTTACAAGTGCTCAGATTTTAGGCATGAGCCACTATGCCCATCCACGATACGTTTTTGTACATATGGTAAAAAATAATTTGAAAGCCTAGCAGTTTATATCCCTGAGAGCCGCATGCAGGACTTATATGTAGATAAAATGAGGAATGTTTTTCTATGTTTTTAATTTTATAGTGTTTATACTGCTTGATAACTAAGCGTTTAAATTCAAATATTTAGTTTCCTCAGAATGCTAAGAGTTATATTTGACATGCTTTTACATTTTTTTTTCTGGTAATATAGCAATACAAGTTTATTAAAATTGTAGCATTTGCCAGGGCATAGTGGCTCACACCTGTAATCCCAACTCTTTGGGAAGCTGAAGTGGGAATATCACATGAGCCCAGGAGTTTGAGACCAGCCTGTGCAACATAGTGGGACCTTGTCTCTACCAAAAAAAAAAAAAAAAAAATTTTTTTTAAATTAACTGAATGTGGTGGCACACACTTGTGGTCCCAGCTACTCAAGTGGCTGAGGCAGGAGGATTACTCAAGCTCAAGAAGTCAAGGCTACAGTGAACTATGATCGTGCCAAGGCACTGTAGCCTGGGTAACAAAGTGAGACCCTATCTTACAAAACAAAAAGAAAGAAAGAAAACTAACATTGTAGAAGAGAATAGAGTACCGTTAAGAAATATGCAAGAAATATGCTGGGTGCGGTGGCTCAAGCCTGTAAGCACTTTGGGAGGCCGAGGCGGGTGGATCACGAGGTCAAGAGTTCGAGACCATCCTGGTCAACATGATGAAACCCCGTCTCTACCAAAAATACAAAAAATTAGCTGGGCATGGTGGTGCGTGCCTGTAATCCCAGCTACTCAGGAGGCTGAGGCAGGAGAATTGCCTGAACCCAGGAGGCGGAGGTTGCGGTGAGCCAAGATTGCACCATTGCACTCCAGCCTGGGTAACAAGAGCGAAACTCCGTCTCAAAAAAAAAAAAAAAAAAAAACTCCATCTCAAAAAAAAAAAAAAAAAAAAAAAAAAGAAATATGCTGAAATGGTACTTTTAGTAGTATGTAGTGTTTCAAGATTACTTTATTTAAAGAACCTCCTACTCATGAAATGTGATTTGTAAGTAAAGTTTTAAGCAGATTATATGATAGCTATTTTATTAATTAAAAAGTCAATTTTTGCTGACAGCCTTGAATTTCAGTTCAGATAATGTGGTTGATAGATATGGAATGTTGTTTTGTTTTTTGTTTTTGTTCTCTTTTAAAGGACTTGGCTGTGTTACTAAGGCTTGATGAAAAAGAACTGCTTAAGCTCCAGGCATTACTAGAGAAATATAAGCAAGAGAACACCAGGACAAATGTTCGATTTTCTGATGATAAAGATGGTGTGTTACCTGTAAAAACATTTTTGGAATATTTAGAATATGAAAAGGATGTGCTCAACATAAAGAAGATTAGTGAAGAGGAATATGTGGCTTTAGGTACGTAAAATAATAGACTGTTGTTTGTGTCTTTCCTCTTTTAGAAGAAAGCATTTAAGGAACATAATAGCATGTCAGAGATTCAGTTTGTTTTGAAATTTAATTAATGAAACGATTTAATGTACTGTATTTTTTGGCCAACAAAAGATACTCTGATCTCAACAGGTTATATTAATAAGTATACTAAAGAGACAGTAGTAGATCATTATTTGCTTCTGCTTTAATCAAGCAAATTGAACCATTAATTTCTCTTTCCTCATAATATTTTGCTTCTCTAGAATTCCAGATTGTGATTCAATAAGATTGTTAGTCCACATGGTAAGTAGTCATTGATTAATGTGCTTTGTTTTTGTTCTACCAGGCAGTTTCTTCTTTTGGAAGTGTTTGCATGGAGAAAGCTCCACTGAGGATATGTGTCACACTTTGGAGTCGGCTGGGCTAAGCCCTCAGCTGTTGTTGGTAAGGTATTTTTTGGTTGCTGGATGCTGTTCTTCCTTGTGAATGTCACCCAGAAGTGTCAGTCTTCTTTTTTTTTTAAACCATTTTCTTTTAGGATAGCATAGAATGATACCCTAAAAATGATCAAATGATATTCTAAAAATGATCAAAGAAACTTTTAATCACTGTATTTAATAGAGTAACATTATTTTATTTTTCTTATACCCTGTAAACAATTTTTTTCTTTTTCTTTTACTTTGAGAGAGAGAGAGTCTTGCTCTGTCACCCAGGCTGGAGTACAATGGTATGATCATAGCTCACTGCAGCCTCAACCTCCTTGGCTCAAGCCATCCTCCCAGCCTCAGCCTCCTGAGTAGCTGGGACTACAGGCGCATGCCGATATGCCAGGCAAATTTTTTTTTACTTTCATAGAGATACGGGTCTTGCTATGTTGCGCAGGCTGTCTCAGACTCCTGCCTTGAAGTGATTCTCCCTGCTTTACCACTGAAAGCTTTTGGATTACAGACAAGAACCACCGTGCCTGGCCAATTTTCTGTAAATGTTAAGAAGCATATTCTATAGTTGGCCTAAAATAAATTTAGCATCTGTATCTGTGCATTTACAGTAAAATTGGATCATCAGTAAAAAACCGTCATGTTACAATGAAAAAGATCTTAAAAACAAAATAAACTTCCCTTAAAGCAATGTGAAATTGTTATCAAACATTTTCAAGCTTTTAATATATATTAGAATGTAATCTCTAATATAACAAATATAAAACAAAAGAATCATCCAAGGAGAAAATACAACACTAAATTTTTGCCCTTTCTGAAAAAAAAAGGAAAGTTACCCCATATTCCTTTTTCTTTTTTTTATTACATATCCCCTACACATATACACATACACAGCTGTCCCTCAGCACCCATGGAAGACTGGTTCCAGGAAACTCCCCCACCATACCAAAATCCATGAATACAGAAGGTCCTGATATAAAATGGTATAGTAAAAAATTAGCCAGGCATGGTGGCATGTCCCTGTAGTCCCAGCTACTCAAGAGGCTGAGACATGAGGATCCCTTGAACCACGGACGTCAAGGATATGCTATGATTGCACCTCTACGCTCCAGCCTAGGTGACAGAGTGAGACCCTGTCTCTAAAAAAAAAAACCAAAAAAGTTAAAATGGTGTAGTGTTTGCATGTAACCTATGCACATCTCCCATATACCTTTTATCCCATATATCTTAAATCATATCTAGATTACTTATAATACCTTAGGCAACATAAATGCCATGTAAATTATTGTTAAACTGTATTGTTGAGGGAATAATGACAAGAAAAAAGTCTGTATATGTTCAGTACAGATGCCACCATCCATCTTTTTTTCCTGAATATCTTTGACTCGGTTGATTGAGTATACGGATGTGGAATGCATGGATACGGAGGGCCAACTGCACACTCTTTCACACTCCTCCATTCATGTGTTATATTTTGGCCTCCATTCACATTAGGATTTGGGGGTCCTACCTCTGTGAGCTTGTTGACTGTTTAATGTATTTTTTTATTATGTATGTGTCTGGTTTTGGTATCGGGATAATGCTGGTCTCATAAAATGAGTTTGGAAGTATTCCCATATATTCAGTGTTGTGAAATAGTTTGAGTATAATTGATATTAGTTGTTCTTCAAATGTTTGAAAGAATTCAACAAGAAATTCATCAGATCCTGGGCTTTCCTGTGGTGGGAGACTTTATGACTGCTTCGGTCTCGTTACTCGTTACTGGTTTGTTGAGGTTTTCTGTTTTTCTGCAGTTGTTGGCATCAAGCTGTTCATAACAGTCTCTAATGATCCTTTGTATTTCTGTGGTATCAGTTGTAATGTTTTCTTTTTTGTCTCTGATTTTATTTGAGTCTTTTCCCTTTTTTTTTTTATTCTAACTAAAGGTTTGTTGATTTTATCTTTTTTAATAAAACAACTTTTTTGTTCTTTTGTAATTTTTTTAAGCCGCAATTTCATTTATTTCTGCTTGATCTTTATTACTTCTTTTACTAATTTTGGGCTGGTTGGTTCTTAACTTTTCTAGTTTATTGAGGTGTACATTGTTAGATTGCTTATTTGGAGTCTCTTTTTTTTTTGAGGTGTTTATTGCCATAGACTTCCCTCTTAGCACTCCTTTTGCTGCAGTCATTGTTTTGGTATGTTGTATTTCCATTTTTATTTTTATTAAGAAATTTTTAAATTTTCTTTTTAGTTGCTTTTTTTGGTCTCATTGGTTGTTCAGAAGCGTGATGTTTAATATCTATATTTTGCAGTTTCCAAAATTCCTCTTGTTACTGATTTCTAGTTTTATTCTGTTGTGGTCAGAAAAATTCTTGGTATGATTTTGACCTTTTACAACTTGAGACTTGTTTTGTGGTAAACATATGGTCTGTCCTGAAGAATATTTTATGTGCTGATGAAAAGAATGTGTATTCTGCAGCAGCAAGTGAAATTTTCTTTAGATGTCTATTAGGTCCATATGGTCTAGTATGTAGTTTAACTCTGATGTTTCTTTGTTGATGTTCTACCTGGAAGATCTGTCCATTCCTGAAAGTGAGATTGAACACCCCTTATATTACTGTATTGAAGTCTGTCTCTCCCTTTAGATATATTAATATTTGCTTTATATATTTGCGTGCTCCATTGTTGGGTGTATACATACTTAACTATTGATAGATCCTCTTGCTGAATTGACTCTTTCATCATTGCATAGTTACTGTCTTGCCCCCTCCCTTTTTTTTTGAGACAGAGTTACTGTCACCCAGGTGGGAATACAGTGTCACAATCTTGGCTCACTGCATCCTCCACCTCCCAGGTTCAAGGGATTCTCCTGCCTCAACCTCCCCTTTGTCTCTTTTTATAGTTTTCAACTTAAAGTCTATTCTTTCTATACGTACAGCTTCTGCTCATTTTTGGTTTGAATTTTTATGGAATATCTTTTTTCATTCCTTCATTTTCAGTCTATGTTTGTCTTTATAGGTGAAGTGAGTTTCTTATATGCAGTATGTGCTTAGATTTTGTTTTTTAATCCATTCGGTCACTCTGTGTTTTTTCATTATTATTTTTGTTCCTGGGTCTAAGCAATTCTCTCATCTCAGCCTTCCACTTAGCCAGGACTATAGGTGCATACCACTGTGCTCAGCTCACTCTGTGTCTTCTAATTGGAGAATTGAGCCCACTTACATTCAGTATTATTAGGTAAGGTCTTACTCCTGCTGTTTTGTTACTTATTAGTTTTGTAACACCTCTTTTTTTTCTGGTTTTTTTTTTTTTTTTTTTGATGGTTAAATGATTTTCTCTTGTAGTATGTTTCAATTCATTGCTTTTGATAATGTATTGCTTTTTTTCAGTGTATTGCTTTTTTTAGTGTTATCTGTTGTAGGCTTTGTACTGTGATTACCATGAAGCTTAAAAAGAAGTCCTAGTTACAGCAAGTATTTAAAACTGATACCAACTTAACTTCGATTGCAAAAAAGGAACAAACAAACCATAAAAAGAAAACTGATACAGATTAACTCCCTTCCCCCTGCATTTTAGGATTTTTGATATCATCATTTTACATTATTTATATTGTCTCTTGGCAAATTGGTATTATTTTTTGATAGTTTTTTCTTTAGTCTTCTTACTAAAGATATACGTGGTTTAAACACCATGATTACAATACTAGTACAACAATCACATTAGCATCATTTTTTTTCAGTTTGGAGAACTCCCTTTAGTGTCTGAGAAATCACACATTTCTTGTAGGATAGGTCTGATAGCAATAAATTCCCTTAACTTTCATTTGTCTCAGGAAATCTTTATTTCCCTTTCATTTCGGAGGAATAACTTTGCTGGGTACAGTATTTTAGGTGGCAGTTTTTTTCCTTGAACACGCTGAACATATTGTCCTCTCGCCCTGTAAGATTTCTGTTGAGAAATCTACCAAACATATTGGATCTATCTTATATGTTATTTGCTTCTATTCTCTTGCTGTTTTCTAAATTCTTTGTCTTTGACCTTTATGAGTTTGTAAATTAGAGTATTCTTGTTTGTGTTAACTCAGATTGGTGACCCTTGACCTTGTTATACCTGTCTATGTATATCTTTTGGTTTGGAAATTTTTCTGTTATTGTTTATTTGAGTAAACTTTCTACTCCTTTGTCTTTCTCAGTTATCTCTTTAACTTCAGTAACCCCAAATTTGCTCTTGTGATGTTGTTTTGTAGCTCCTATAGGCCTTGTTCATTCCTTTTCATTCATTTCTTTCTTCTCCTCTGACTATGTATTTTCAAATAGTCTATCAACAAATTCACTGATTCTTTCGTTTGATCAATTCTGCTATTGATGCTGTACTGCATTTTTCATTTTATTTATTTTTCACTTCCAAGGTTTCTATTTGATTTTTTCATTAGTATTTCAAACTTTTTAAAATTTCTCTGATACATTTTTTAATAGATTGTATGTGTTTTCTTGAAGTTTGTTGAACTTCCTTAAACAGCGATTTTGAATTCTTTGTCTTAGAGATCACACGTCTTCACTTTAGGTTCTGTCTCTGGTGCCTTACTTTGTCAATTTGGTGAGGTCATGTTTCCCTGAATGTTCTCGATGCTTGTAGAAGTATAGTGGTATCTATGCATCGATATATTAGATATTTACTTTAGTCTTCACAATCTGGCTTTGTTTTTACTTGGCCTTCCTCAGAGGGCCTTCCAGAAATTCTAAGCTGACTAACGGTTACATTCCCTGAGCTTGTGCACAGTGCAGCTGTCTCAATACTAAACGACACTCAGCCCAGGATTGCTGCAGGTTTCTCAAGAGCTCTGAGGTTTATGTGGCTTTCCAGCTTCATTGACTGAGGGAAGACCCAAGGAGGGTGCTGATGCTATGTGGGAATGCTGGCCAAGGACCTGAATCCAGAAGACTGTCCTGGTGGCCCAGACACGTGTGCATCTGCATCCTAGCAGGTCTCTGTACAGGTGGATGGGTCCCCAGCTGCAGTGAGAGGAGGTAGAAATGAGACTGGACCACCTTTAGGATCTGTGTTAAATGGAGGCTGGCCAGCCTGTTTTGTTGGCTCAGATGGGTATGTGTCACCCAGCAGGTTCCTGCACAAGTGAGGTAATTCCTCGACTGCAACAGGAGGGGCTCGAGCTGAGACTGGGCCCTCTCAAGATCAGCTGTGGGAATGGAGGCTCTTGTGTCTCATGTTGGCTCGGAGAGGGGTGTCTTCCAGTAAGTTCCTGCACAGATAGGATAGTTCTCCAACTGCAGTGAGAGGGCCCTGAGCTAAGATCCCCTTAGGAGTGAGACAGAGGTTGGCGAGCCTGTCAGGGAGGCTCTGACTCCTGGGCTGAGAGATCTGAGTGAGTCTCTCAGTCAAACCCTACAGCCAGTGGCACCTTGTTAACAGCAAATCGGCCAGGCATGGTGGCTTACACCTATAATCCCAGCACTCTGGGAGACCGAGGTAGGTGGGTCACCTGAGATCAGGAGTTCAAGACCAGCCTGACCAACATGGAGAAACCCCGTCACTACTAATAATACAAAAATATTATCCAGGTGTGGTGGCACATGCCTGTTACCCAGATACGTGGGAGGCTGAGGCAGGAGAATCACTTGAACCCAGGAAGCAGAGGTTGCAGTGAGCTGAGATTGTGCCATTGCACTCCAGCTTGGGCAACAAGAGCAAAACTCCATCTCAAAAAAATACAGCAAATCTATGCTCATGTGGTAGTAACTCCTTTCTGATAATATGCTCCTTAATAGAGATTTGGATTGGAAGGCAATGCTTAACAAAGAAGAGTTGGAAACAGTGAAGTTTAAATAGACAACAGGTTGTAATCTCTTAGGTAGACAAGGTACCTCGTTCTCCCTCTCATATTGCATGATACAGCAAGCAACCACTTACTTTTTCACCTCAAGAAGCTGCATCATTCATATGCATGCATTTGCTGTCTAGGAAAGTATAAGATTTTGTCTATGTTAATTTTTTTTTAGACTGAAAAAGATTTAAATTTGATTTCAGTCTCTGCTCCTGAGTGTTTGGCTTTCTAAGGAAAAGAATATTTTGGATAAACCGCAGTCTATCTGCTGTCTTCATAAAATGCTGTCTCTCCTCAGCAAGATGAAAGGTAGGATGCTAGTGCATGTCGTAGTTCAGAATCGCAGGATTTTAGCTCAGGCTCTCGTAAGCAAAGTTTAGTGTTTGAAATGTCACAAAAAGATAGGAGAGTCGATAGGATTCCTTAACAAAAGGAGTCTATAGTGTAAAAAACATTTCACCGTGAAGATTCTTTTATGTATTAATAGAATACTCTTAATGCATTTGACTTATGTTTTAATTTATGAAATTTTATATTTTGTATCATCATAAAAATAATATGATTTGAACAATACATCTTAGTAAGGCGAATGGAATGGTCTTCAGGGGAGGTAATATTTTTCTTGTTATTTTTTATATGATTATCAGAATATTAATCTATTATATTAAAATATTCGGGCCAGGCACAGTGGCTCACACCTGTAATCCCAGCACTTTGGGAGGCCAAGGCAAGCAGATCACGAGGTCAAGAGATCAAGACCGTGCTGGCTAGCATGGTGAAACCTCGTCACTACTAAAAATACAAAAAAATAGCTGAATAGCTGGGCGTGGTGGCGGGCACCTGTAATCCCAGCTACTCAGGAAGCTGAGGCAGGAGAATCGCTTGAACCCAGGAGGCGGAGGTTGCAGTGAGCTGAGATCACACCACTGCACTCCAGCCTGGGTGACAGAGTGAGACTCTGTCTCAAAAAAAAAAAAAAAAAAATTCAGTAGTTTTCAATAATGATGAAATATTCCAAATAAGGACTTAATATTGATTCAGAACAACGATGACTAAAAAATCATAAATAAATGGAATAGAAATGTTCTGAATAAAATAGATTGTTAGATTTATTTTCCACTTCATTGAGAAATAAAACAACACATCAGTAGGGAACTTAGTTTTAACATTATGTTTAACATAAATGGTTATACCAAAGAAATAGACAGGGTAAGAGTTTATTTTTGAGTTTTCTCCTATCCCTATAGTGGCCATCGATGAGACCTGGGATTCTCAGTCTGTGTCACCATGGTGGCAGCAGATGCGTACAGCCTGTATTCTGTCTGAGAACAATGGAGCTGCTCTATTGTCTGCACATGTTGGGCATTCTGTTGCTGCACAGATATCAAACAACATGACAGAGAAAAAAGTAAGTGGGCAAAGGTATGGTGTTGATCTGTACACAGCCATAGGCTAAGGGGATGCTTTCCTTTTCTGGGTTTTTTTGGGGGGGAGTGATCAGGAAAAGGGATGAGAGGTACTCCCCTTAATTTGTTTATTCAGCATGTTGCCATCCACACTTGAATTTAGCAGTTGCCAATGGCAGTATCCTACTATATTTTTTTCTCTTCTTTTGAGACTCAGATTTCCTTTACAGCTCATGGTGGATCAAATAATTTTTTCCAGGGGTATGTTAACATTCATTTAGATGAGACACCTAAATAGGTCTGTGGAGAGTCACTTAACATTGTCAGTCACTGTTGTTTATAGGCTCAATTTAATGTTGCCTTCTTTAAATGTTCTTTATGAAGGGGAGAGATGAAATTTCATATTTTTTTTAAGTTGAAGAGTGTATTCTGAAGAGACGTAAGTATTTTGATTGGTACTGACAGTCAAAACTGTGGCCCTTGCCAAAGATGGCCAGAAAACTTCGAAATGTACTCTGGTTGAATTAGGGTCATTACTACAGGACTCCTTATAAATATCTGGAGTCACCGTCCTTGCCCATGAGTCTCCAGTCTACTCCTGACCCTGATGTTTCATCCAACGCAGTAGTAATACCTGTAAAATAGCATTTATGTGTTGCTTTGTGATGTATCCTCAGTATCCATCATCTTTCAAGTTAAAAGCTCATTTGAGTTAATATCGATTCAGAATCTTTGGCAGAGAATCACCAGTACATTTTTTATTAGTTTTCCCAAACAGTTTTGGGTGCGGATTCAGAGGCCCTCACTGATTCCTGGGAAGCCCTTTCTCTTGACACTGAGTACTGGAAACTCCTTCTGAAACAGCTGGAGGATTGTCTTATACTTCAGACTCTGCTTCACAGCAAAGGGAACACTCAGACCTCCAAAGTGTCATCGCTGCAGACTGAGCCACTTCTAAGGCTTTCTGTTAAAAAGTTATTAGAAGGAGGAAAAGGTAAGCTGAGTTTATTTGATCATTTGCATCCAGGTTTTTTTGTTATGAAGGTTCCTTTTAATAGAAATGACTGAAAGAATAGGGAAAGAAAAATACACTCAGATTTAAAAAATAACAATAACCTTCTATATATTTTCTCTCAATTAATTTTCTCTAAAGTCTCATTTGGTCAATTCCATGCTCAGGAGCTGCTAGTTGCATCCCTCTGCCTAAGAAAATGGCAGTGATTCTCAAAGAGTGGTCAGAGGACCTCAGGAATCTGCCTTTTTTCACCTACATGTCTGTATAGGTCAGATTTTCCTCATATGCTTCAACCAAAACAACAGAGTACAATAGATTGAATGTCAAAGCTGATTGGGGATTCCAGATAGAAGCCAGACATTACACAGATGTGCAAATATGTAAAGTAGTGCCACTTTTCTCACCAAATATCCCTTTTTTTTTTTTTTTTTTTGCACTGGGAAATTTTTTTTTTTTTTTAATACTAAGTTCTGGAATACATGTGCAGAACGTGCAGGTTTGTTACATAGGTATACACATGCCATGATGGTTTGCTGCATCCATCAACCTGTCATCTACATTAGGTATTTCTTCTAATGCTATCCCTCCCCTAGACTCCCATCCCCAATAGGCCCCAGTGTATGATATTTCCCTCTCTGTGTCCATGTGTTCTCATTGTTCAACTCCCATTTATGAGTGAGAATATGCAGTTTTAGGTTTTCTGTTCCTGTGTTAGTTTGCTGAGAATGCTGGTTTCCAGTTTCATCCATGTCCCTCCCTGCAAAGGACATGAACTCATCCTTTTTTTATGGCTACATAGTATTCCATGGGTATATATTTGCCACATTTTCTTTATCCGGTCTATCATTGATGGGCATTTGGATTGGTTCTGAGTCTTTGCTATTGTGAATAGTGCTGCAGTAAACATACGTGTGCATGTGTCTTCATAGTAGAATGATTTATAATCTTTTGGATATATACTCAGTAATGGGATTGTTTGGTCAAATATAATTATTTTCATAAAATATTAGCATGTAATCAGTTTATTATTTTCATTTTAAAATTGACTAATATTTTTTAAATTTATCAGTTTTAATTTTTAGTACCATAAAGATTGACAGCTATAACTCATAAACCAAAGTTCTTTGGGGTTGCCAGTAATTTTAAGGGGATCATGAGACCAGTAAGTTCAAGAATTGCCTTTAAATGCCTGAAGCATAAACTCTTAAGCTTGCTCTCCAAAAACTTTTGACTTTGAATCCAACTGATTTTTCTATTTCTTTCATACTTGCTTCCTAGATTTTAGTTAAAATAAAGCATCCATGTGCAGCCTGTCTTAGATCTGGGCCTATCCTCCTCCCTTTCCCTGCCTCTCTCTCACGAATATTGAAATCTTACTCATCTTTCAAGATCCACCTCAAATGCTTCTCCTCCAAGAAACCCTTCATATTCACTAATTGCAAATTTTCTCTTTTTCCCCCTAATATCCATAGAACTTTATCCCTCTGTTCTGATGCATCACTTTCTACTGTCCTGGAGCCATTTGGGTTTCCTGTGCTTATATCTTGCAGGAACATAAACATCTTACATTTTTAGTTGTCTTTGGGTGCTCACACTTTTTATCAGCAGCTCTTTTAGGCATTCAATACTGGAAGAACTGTGTGTAAGCTTTATAAATACCCACATATTTATGGATTTTTATTTAGCTTACTCATTTTCTCATTCTTTATAAACTCGTGACCATTTTTTTTATTGTAAACTCACCATACATCATGTTGCCACCTAATGAAAGGGTGAGGATGCTATTTGAATATTAACCTAAGCAGTGGAATCAGGGGCTTAATTCTGGAATGAGAATTTTCAAATGTTTTAGAAGAAACATAAGACATGAGATCACCCAGCACACTGCTCACATTTATTTTCACTGATAATTGTGAATTTACTGTGAAGCATTCTTTTCGTGGAAGGTAGTTACTGGAATCAAAAGAAGAGGAAAGACTGAGAGAGAAAGTTTTGGTAAACCATAGAAGAAGTGTAATTTGTTTTCAGTAATTAACAGGACTCTTTAAACATCTGGAACGTTTTTCAGCATGTGTTCACAATTTTTTGTACTATATTGATGACTGAAACATGATATAATATGCTGTTGTTTAGCTATAGCTAAATTAGGCCCATAAATATTTCCTGTAGGCAAATTAGTTGATTATTAAAAGTGATATTGGCTGGGCACAGTGATTCATGACTGTAATCATAGCCCTTCGGGAGGCCGAGGCAGGTGGATCAGCTGAGGTCAGGAGTTCAAGATCAGCCTGGCCAACATGGTGAAATGCTATCTCTACTAAAAATACAAAAAAATTAGCCAGGCGTGGTGGTGTGCACCTGTAATCTCAGCTACTCAGGAGGCTGAGGCAGGGAAATCACTTGAACCTGGCAGGCAGAGGTTGCGGTGAGCCGAGATCATGCCATTGCATTCCAGCCTGGGCAACAAAGCATGACTCCGTCCCCCCCCAAAAAATAAGGTAATATTATATTGCCCTTAGGAGCCTAGACAAGTGTCATACTAAACAATCTATTTTCGCTTATAATTTAAGTAAAAGTGTTTTAAGGGTATATTAATTTCTTTGTTTTTTGAAATGGAGTTTGACTCTTGTTGCCCAGGCTGGAGTATAATGACGTGTTCTCAGCTCATTGCAACCTCCACCTCCCGAGTTCAAGCAATTCTCCTGCCTCAGCGTCCTGAGTAGCTGGGATTACAGGCATGCACCACCGCGCCCGGCTAATTTTGTATTTTTAGCAGAGATGGGCTTTCTCCATGTTATACAGGCTGGTCTCAACTCCTGACCTCAGGTGATCTACCAGCCTCAGCCTCTCAAAGTGCTGGAATTACAGGTGTGAGCCATCATGCCCAGCCAATTTCTTTGTTTTTATCTCGTAAAGTGTATTTTAAATCTGTGGACATAGAAAGCATATGGTATGCGCATGTGCATTTATATTCATCTAATATTTTCTGAGAGTATAAGGATGCCCTGACATATCTTTTGATATACATTTTGATATATGTCAGGGCATCCTTATACTCTCAGAAAATATTAGATGAATATAAATGCACATGCACATACCATAATATCAACAACAAAATATCCTGCTTGTTGCCCTCACAAGTTGCGTGGTAGGTAGTACCGCTGCTGTAAATCTCATGGCTTTTTCGGGTCACCTTCGGGCTCAGAAATGAATGTGGCACTGAAATCTCTTCATAAAGAAATGTAGGTTATGAACCATCTTGGCTCCCATTGGCAAACACTGCCATGTGTGTTGTGAATTTTTATTTTCTTTCTTGTCTCCAAACTATAGGTGGCATTGCAGACAGTGTAGCCAAGTGGATATTTAAACAGGACCTCAGCCCTGAAGTATTAAAACTGGCTAATGAAAAAAGAGATGTAGAAAACCCAGATGAACCCAAAGAAGGTGTTAACAGAGGTTTCCTTGAGGTATCAGAGGTGGAGACGGACTTAGGAGCCATACCAGGTGATACACAAATAATGAGAAATATGAAATCCAGAGTAGAAGTATGTGGCCAAGTGTTCGTCAAGGAGAAAAATAACATCACTGCTTTCTTCTGACTTTCAGACCTACTGCATTTAGCGTATGAGCAGTTTCCTTGTAGCCTTGAGCTAGATGTGTTGCATGCACATTGCTGCTGGGAGTATGTTGTTCAATGGAATAAAGATCCAGAGGTAAGAGTCTCATTACCTCTTTCATGTTATTTCTGCTTCTGTGTTCATGCTATTCATATGTGGGGACTGTAATTAAAGAGCTTATTCTAAACACTGGCTTGTTTCCCGTTGTAATGCCTCTGTACTAACTAGGGTAGACCTTTTTCATAATTTCCTCTTATAATCCTCACAGTAAACCTGTAACATATAAGTACTGTCATTGTCCCCACTCTAGAGAAGAAAAAACTAGGGCTCAGAGAATTTAAGTTTCTTCCCTGCAGGCACACAGCTAAGTTAAATGTCAGGATTTAAGCTTAGGTTTCTCTTTATCTGAAACCTGTGTGCTTTGCCCTACTCCCTAGTTAGGTTGTGACAAGTATATTGTTTATTTCTTTCTGAATTCCTGCATGAAATGGCACCAGCCTAACAGAATATTCGTTTTTTTGTTTTGTTTTTTGGTTTTTTTTGAGACGTCTCAACCTGTCACCCAGACTGGAGTGCAATGGTGCGATCTCAAGTCACTGCAACCTCTGCCTCCCGGGTTCAAGCGATTCTCCTGCCTTAGCCTCTCAAATAGCTGGGATTACAGGTGCACGCCACCACACTTGGCTAATTTTTATATTTTTAGTAGAGATGGGGTTTCCCCATGTTGGCCAGGCTGGTCTCAAACTCCTGACTTTGTCATATGCCCACTTTGGCCTCCCAAAGTGCTGGGATTGCAGGTGTGAGCCACCATGCCAGACCCAGAATATTACAGTCATCATGATAGAAGTCAAGAGTGAAGGTCCTGACATCAACCTAGTGTCTGATTGTTCAAATATGTCTGTATTTGTCTGTTACTTCTATTTGCCTCAGAAGAACAACAAGGCATGTCGTGCCCAAGATTCCCCTTTCAGTTCTCTGCTCAGGCATTGTTTTCTATTGCTTTTGGTAGCCACTATTTCTACCAGGACATTTGCAGTCTAGAATCAACATAGGGGGAAGGCCCCAAGCCTGGAGACAGGAGGCCAAGATTTAGATCCCAGCTGAATTGCTGAGAAGCTTCTGGCTCAGGAGAGTCACTGAATCTCTGGCCTGTTATTTTCTACCTTTTTCCCCCTCCTTTTTAAAATGAAGGTGCCATGATTAAATAAGATATAAAAACATACTGTAAATATTCCTCTTTGCCAATTGGTCCTTCACTTAAACCTCCCTAGTCACTTATTCCTCTCAAATCAAAATTCTCAAATAAGTTACCTCCCTGGTAACTTACTCCTCTCAAATCAAAATTCTTACCTTAATCGTCCTTGTATGAGGTTGCACTGTAGAGAACTCTCACAGATGAACCAATTCATGCTAATATATTAATGGAAACGATATTCTTCCTTCCTCCAAAAAATCTAATTGCTTATGTATTAAAGGAAGACGTTACAAAAGTAACGGATTTAAATAAAGGAATAGTCTTTGATCAATTAAACCTTGACCAAAAAATGATTTTAGGACAGTCCTCTTAATGCCCCTCAAATAACTCCCTTGAGTTGACTACAGCCTGAATGGCGATCATTATTTAGGCTCTCTACTTAAATGAGTTACTTTTCCATTTTATTAAAAAGGAATGTTATGTCTAGAATAAGAATAGAATTTCTAAAATCGGAATGAATTAATTTCAGATTCAAGTCTAAAAAAGTGTCATTTAAGAAGAAAATTCTGTTTAATAGCATTTAGGTTTTTTTAAGATCGAATTTCAGTCTTTGTTTCCCAGGCTGGAGTATAGTGGTGTGATCTCGGCTCACTGCAACCTCCGCCTCCCGGGTTCAAGCAATTCTCCTTTCTCAGCCTCCCAAGTGGCTGTCGGCTCACTGCAACCTCCGCCTCCCAGGTTCAAGCAGTTCTCCTTTCTCAGCCTCCCAAGTGGCTGGGATTACAAGTGCCCACTACCACACCCGGCTAATTTTTGTAATTTTAATAGAGACTGAGTTTCACCATGTTGCTCAGGCTGGTCTTAAACTCCTAACTTCAGGTGATCCACCTGCCTGGACCTCTCAAAGTGCTGAGATTATAGGCATGAGCCACCACATCCGGCCTTTAGCATTGGTTTATAAACCAAAGGCAGCTTGCAGAGAGGACATAGACAAAGCTGACATCAAGCCCCATGGCTGCTGCATATAGCTTATAATAATCATAGCACACAGTTTCTGATCTCTTTGTTTCAACTTTCTCCTAAAAGGAGGGCTATAGTAGTAGTTATCTCAAAAGGTTATTGTGTTTTTTGAGAAAATGAATGCATAGTGCATAACATTTTGATTAGTGTTATCGTTATCATTCGTATTGCTTACATTTAAAAGAAGTTGTTGTTTTACTTGTTTTTCCTGTGAAATATTCATCTTGCCCTATCCAACCACTGTCTCAGCTCCACCATTTGACACACACAATTTTGTAAGGCTCAAAACAATAAAATTACCTTCAGACAAATTTCAACACAGTATGTATTGATTGGCAATGATATGTTTGATGATGATGTATAAGCTACAAAATTATTTAGCAGAGATCTGGATGATTTCATCAGTGTTGCATACTGTATTTGTGTTTTAGTATGTGAACTCCTTTAATTAGAAAGAGTTGAATTTCAAATATCCCATCTGATATTTCATATTTCCTTCCCTGCTTTAATTTTTTTCTCTTTGGCACTTGCCGCTAACATACTAAATATAATGTATTTATTTCTTATGTTTATTATGTAGGTCCTCACTAGAATTTAAACTCAGTGAAGGCAAGACTTTTGGGTCTGTTTTGTTCATTATGGAATCTGTGATGCTTCAAATAGGGCTTGATGCAGAGTAGATGCTCAATAAATATTTGTTGAATAACAGATGAATTGTATCTACAAAAGCATATTGTTTTTACATCTGTATGAAATTCAAGTATTTATTGGAGAGAATATTGCTATAATGTAAAAACCACAACACATTTGAATTCAGATGTTAGCCCATATGACCTAGGAGCTGCTAGGACTTAATCACTGTATAGGTAATGTGAGTTGAAGAGGGACAGTTTATCAAAAGTTACTTCTTACCCAATAATTTCATGTTATTATTGCAACATTCTTAGGTAGCTTTATGCAGAAATTTATGTAAGAAGTCTCCATTGATAATGGTAAAACCTATTAAATGATACCTCTTTTTCTTTCTTTTTTTTTTCTCCCTGTATGGAAGGAAGCACGTTTTTTTGTTAGGTCAATAGAACACTTGAAGCACGTTCTTAATGCACATATTCAGAATGGTAAGTAAACAGATATTAGAAACATCACTGGTTGATTTAAAAGAGACTTCCTGACCTATTATTTTATTTGATTATTCTGCAACCTAACGTATTCCTGTGTAATGGCTCAGGTTTATGGGTTGCTTGAGGCCAGTGGTTCAAGGCTGCAGTGAACTATGATCATGCCACTGCATCCAGCTTGGGTGACAGTGAGACCCTGTCTCTAAAAAATAAAATAAACAGTACTGGCCATGTTAACTACTTGGGAAAATGCTATTTAGAAAGGGGCAAAAGAACTGGTAGTAATCACCACTTCTGTTCCCCAAGCTGACTACTATTCCTGGGAATAATTAAGGCAGCTGTTCTGCATCTGTCTTTCCAAGGAAAGAGGGAATCAATGATAGCTGCAGAACAGCTGCCTTAATTACACCCTTCACAGATAGTGACAGAAAGAGGGATGGATTTCTCAGGACTGTAATTCTTTTTTTTTTTTTTTTTTTTTGAGACGGAGTTTCGCTCTTGTTACCCAGGCTGGAGTGCAATGGCGCGATCTCGGCTCACCGCAACCTCCGCCTCCTGGGTTCAGGCAGTTCTCCTGCCTCAGCCTCCTGAGTAGCTGGGATTACAGGCATGCACCACCATGCCCAGCTAATTTTTTTGTATTTTTAGTAGAGACGGGGTTTCACCATGTTGACCAGGTTGGTCTCGATCTCTCGACCTTGTGATCCACCCGCCTCGGCCTCCCAAAGTGCTGGGATTACAGGCTTGAGCCACCGCGCCCGGCTAGGACTGTATTTCTTAATGAAAAATTGTGATAGCCAAAAGCCTAGTAAGATTAGATTGTAGCAATTATCTTGTGCTTCTTATAATGGGTGTGAATATTCGCCATTAGCTGCCAGACCTTGGCAACTACTAATGTCTCCTTAAAAAATATTGAACTTGGGGCTGAGCGCAGTGGCTCACGCCTGTAATCCCAGCACTTTGGGAGGCTGAGGCGGGTGGATCACGAGGTCAAGAGATCAAGACCATCCTGGTCAACATGGTGAAACCCCGTCTCTACTAAAAATACAAAAAAAATTAGCTGGGCATGGTGGTGCGTGCCCGTAGTCCCAGCTACTCAGGAGGCTGAAGCAGGAGAATTGCCTGAACCCAGGAGGTGGAGGTTGCAGTGAGCTGAGATCACGCCATTGCACTCCAGCCTGGGTAACAAGAGCGAAAACTCCGTCTCAAAAAAAAAAAACAAAAAACTGAACTTGTAAACAGATTCCATTTAATAGACAGATGGGTTTCATTATAGGAATTGAGGATATCAGCACCAGGCTAGTTAGTAACCTTAATAATGATGAGACTTGGTGTTAGGCTGGGTAAGAGGAGGTACCACCTTATGTTTCTATGATAAATTCTTGAGAAGCTACTTTTTTTTTTTTTATTGTACTTTAGGTCTGGGGTACATGTGCTGATCATGTAAGATTATTGCATAGGCACATACATGGCAATGTGGTTTGCTACCTCCATCCCCCCATTACCTATATCTGGCATTTCTCCCCATGTTATCCCTCCCGAACCTCCCCACTCCCCACTGTCCCTCCCCTAGCCCCGGAAGCTACTTCTTTTTCACCTCTATCACATTCTTGCAGGTGGTATGTAATCCAATTGCAGAAATTGTAACATGTCCCATTTTACTTGAAGAGACCTTGAAAATTACTTACTCATCTCTTAGATCTTACATTCATCCAAAAAGAAAAAATTTACTCTGACTCATTTGGAAAATATCATGTTTAAATTACTCTATCCTTATTAATAAAATTATTAAGTTACTAACTGATTTCAGACTAGTATTTCTTCAAGTCAGACTTTTACCCATTTGTACCTTTACTGATTGAGTAAGGTTCCTGGCTTCTCAGATCCTATGAGGGACCTTACTCATAGATTCACTCAGCTGCAAGGGTAGTAATAACAGCATGTGAAATGCCATGTTTATACTGTCTAATTGACAGTTGTTTCAGAAATTTAATTTTAATGCCACAGCTCAGTGAGTAGTGAGTGACAGGGTCTTGCTTTATTACCCCAGCTGGAATATAGTGGTGCAGTCGTAGCTCACTGTGATCTTGAACTCCTGAGTTCAAGCTGTCCTATCACCTCAGCCTCCGAGTGGGTCTATAGCCATGCACCACCATGCCTGGCTAATTTTTTAAACATTTTTTCATAGAGATGGATTCTGGCCATGTTGCCCAGACTGGGTTGTTTTTTTTTTAAATAAATTTTTTAATATTTTGTTTTTAATACTTTTTTATATATTACTTTAATTTGTAGTTATGTATGAAAAAATCAATTGGCAGACATTGGGATTATTTCTAGTGTTTGGCTGTCAGGAATAAAACTGTTCCCAAAAATCTCGTACATATCTTCTGTATTCATTTATCTTGTGTGTATACACAGCAGTAGAATTGTCGGGTGACACAGCAGACACATTTAGCTTCAGTCGCTACCACCCAGCAGTTTCCCGTGTGGTTTTACCGAGTTATTATACCACCCATAATGCATAAGTGTTCCATTCGTTCCATATCCTCATTAATACTTGGTAGTGTAATTTAAAAATTGTTTTTGGCCTTTTTGGTGGCCGTGTAATGCTCTCTCACTGTGATGTTCTAGGTCTCTCAGAACTAATGATCTGACTCTTTTCTTCATGCTTATTGGCAATTTTGACATACTCTTATACAGTCCAGTTGTGATTTTTATTAAAGATAAAGATTTCATTAACTTTGTAATATTACATAAGATATAAAAAAATGAAATCAAAATAAATAGCCCATATAGTTTAGTAAACTTAAAGACAGTAATTTGTTATATATAATAAAAGTGAGAATATATAAGCATTCTATTTACTACTTTACTTTTCCTTGCTATCTAGGCATTGCGCTGATGATGTGGAATACGTTCTTAGTTAAAAGATTTTCTGCTGCTACATACTTAATGGATAAGGTAAGGTAGTTTCTTGACTTCTTATTTATTTGGTTCTCTTAATTGACTAATATTAGAAAGATTGGTCATGTTAGGCTTAGACTATTTTTTAATTTGATAATTAGATTTTACTCATGCTCAGTTAAATGTCATGCTCAGTACTGGCATTTTAATGACATGAAGAAGAGCTCTAAATCCTCAGAAAGAGTCTATTATATTATAAAAGCCCCTTAACTAAAGAAATTAGGACTGGTGGTTGATTCAAGCAAGGATTTGCATTTTATTTCCAATTAAAATGTAGAAATTTACACTTACTGATCTTTGATATAAGGCCAAGTTTTTTTTTTGTTTTTTTTTTTTTTTGAGACAAGTCTAGCTCTGTTGCCAAGCTGGAGTGCAGTGGCGCAATCTTGGCTCACTGCAACCTCCGCGTCCTGGGTTCTAGCAATTCTCCTGCCTCAGCCTCCCAAGTAGCTGGGACTACAGGTGCACGCCACCACGCCCAGCTAATTTTCGTATTTTTAATACAGATGGGGTTTCACCATGTTGGCCAGGATGGTCTCAATCTCTTGATCTCGTGATTTGCCTGCCTTGTCCTAAAGGGCCAAGATATTTTCTTTGAATGGAGTTGATTGCAGTTCTCCTTTGGTTTTCTTGCAAAAACCTCCCCCATGATGCATTGCCTATCATGGCTGGATCTTACTGTTTTGAAGTTGTTATGTAATCTAAGTTATAACCTTTAGATTTCTGTAATTTTTGTAGTTCCTTTCTCTGTATCTAATCCAAAAGACCTAGGAGTTATTCTCCTCCATAAACCTTTGCAAAGCATTCAACATAGCATCCATGTAAACAACTCCCCCTTTTTTCTCATTCCTATTTCATCAGTTATTGAATTAAATGACATGCTTATAGTACATGTACAACTAGCATGAATAGCTTTGGGAACAAACATAACATGTAAGAATAGAACTCAACTAATGGGAGCAGAAGCTGCTGAGGGTAACAGCCTAGTCTCCAGCTGACTGGCCAGGGGCACTAGTTAGTATGTTTTACAGGCCACTCAACAATGTGGATTAATGTAGCATCAGATGAGTGGATGCTAAGAGAATTACCACTGTAATGAAAACATGTGCTTTTAAATGTATAGTCACAGTCATTTCTGCACCATGAATAGCACCACAACCAAGACCCAACTGTAGGCCACTGCTTCCCTTGAAACTGCTTTCTTTGATGTTTTTTGATAACATATTTCCAGTTAAAGCTAACCCGTCTTTCCTCTGTGCTTTTCTTCCTTGACTGCTTAGCTTCTTTCTTGGAACTTGCATCTTTTGGCCTTTATGATGTTCTCCTATTCAACTTCACCTCTGACCCCCTTCTCTTTCGAGAGAGTAACAATAAACTGTAATTTATGTGTGTGTTACAATTTGTAATTTCACAGCATTCTCACATCCACAATCACATTTGATCTTCACTACTTTGATTGGGGTGAAAATAGTCCTAAACTAGGAAGCAGGAAATTTGTGATTCAATAAGTCTTTATTATAAGGTGTGTTTCTAATGTGCCAAGACTATGCTAGGTTCTGTGGTTGAACCAATGGAAGTTACAGTCCTGGTCCTCAAAGAGCTCACAGTTTGAACACCAGGTAAACAGACAATAGTGAGTTTTTGGAGCTCAGAAGAGGAGGAAATAAATAACAAGACAAGGGGAAGGCTTCCAACTTAAATTTTGGTGGATATATATGAACCAGTAAAAAGTAGGTGAAAAGAAAGTGTATCCCAGCAGTCCTGGAGATATGAGGCAACTGGTTGGATTCAGAGAACTGTAATTAGCTTAGTGTTGCTGGAACAGAGGCTATATTAGGAGAGAAGAGAAGCTAAGTTGAAGAAATTCTTGTGCAGGCTGTGGATTTGGATTTTCTGGTAGTATCTGTAACCTTAGCACAGGGTCTGGCACATGTGGCTCAGTAAATTGTAGCCATTATTTTATATTGAAGACACTGGGGCAATTTTAAGCGCAGGAATTATATATTCAGATTTGTGTTTAAAAAGATTATTTAGGCAATAGACAAAGTATCTTGGGATTGGGGTTGGCTGAGCTTGGTTGTTTCAAGGCTGCTGTGGTAATCCCAGCAAGTGGTAGCGAGGTCAGGTTTTTCTCCACTGTCTCCTGTGAGTTTTCTCTCTTATCAGGTAGTATTTCTGAGGGCAGAACTTTTACCTCCCACTTATTACACTGTAGACATATACAGCAGAATCTTAATAAGTACTTACTGCATAAGGAAATCTTTCTGAGCTAGAATAAAACTCTCATCTGCTTTAGAGTGTTTTTCCTTTCTGTTTCAAACGATTGTGTCTTTATCAACAAGCCAAACTCTTAGGTGTTCTTGATTAGTATCCTTGAGCTAGGCTCTGGGTTTTTGTTTTTTTTTCTTTGGCGGGGGTGGGATGAAGTCTCACTCTTTTGCCCAGGCTGGAGTGTAGTGGTGCAATCTTGGCTCACTGCAACCTCCACCTCCCGGGTTCAAGTGATTCCCCTGCCTCAGCCTCCCTAGCAGCTAGGACCCCAGGTGCATGCCACATCATCCAGCTAATTTTTGTATCTTTAGTGGAGACAGGGTTTCACCATGTTGGCCCGGCCGGTCTTGAACTCCTGATCGCAAGTGATCAGCCCACCTTGGCCTCCCAAAGTGCGGGGATTACAGGCATGAGCCACCATGCCTGGCCTAAGCTCTCGGTTTTTAGACAACACACTTAAATGACTGTACAAAGTGAGGGCCAGATTTTTAGAGTTTTTTTCTTTTTTTTTTTTTTCTTTTTTTTTTTTTTTTAGGAGGAGTTTCGCTCTTGTTACCCAGGCTGGAGTGCAATGGCGCAATCTCGGCTCACCGCAACCTCCGCCTCCTGGGTTCAGGCAATTCTCCTGCCTCAGCCTCCTGAGTAGTTGGGATTACAGGCACGCGCCACCATGCCCAGCTAATTTTTTGTATTTTTAGTAGAGACGGGGTTTCACCATGTTGACCAGGCTGGTCTCGATCTCTTGACCTCGTGATCCGCCCGCCTCGGCCTCCCAAAGTGCTGGGATTACAGGCTTGAGCCACTGCGCCCGGCCGAGTTTTTTTCTTATTTAATAGTTCAGAAACAAAAAAAAAATAGTTCAGAAATACGTAATTTATATTTGATTCTTGAGCCCAGTGTGACATTAACCTCAGATTTAATTACCATTGCTAGAGACAACAGCTAATTAATGAGGCTATCACATTTATTTATAGATGCATTTATAGTTTTTAAATTTGGTTACTTTTTCTTATCTGTACCATAGTAATGTCTTTTTATTTAAATTATTAAATATTACAACATTTTGTCTTTTTATTTTAGGTTGGAAAATCACCAAAGGATAGGTTATGCCGAAGGGTAAGTGAATCTCCCATAACTAGAATTACAGTTGTTATTTCCACACTTCATATAGTATTTTATTAACTGTAGGGGTGAACTTTGCCTTTTACCATTGTGATGACGTATCAGGAGGAGATAACAAAAATGAAAAGAGAGAATGTATTGCATTAAGGAAACTGGTCATGAACTATGGCCAATTTTAATTTACTTTTCCAGACTGTTAGATAGCATATTTAAACTAGGTTTTTATAAGATGTTTTCAACTTTGGACTGTGGACAGGATAACATGCAACCATTGCTGCATATTTTTGCTCTAATTCAAATTAGACATTTACAATAGAAGCATCCAACATCAAATTGAAGCAGGTTCAAATGAAATAGTTAATTTAACCTACATATATATATATATATATATAATGTATAATAACATAACTATACAAATACAACATTAATCTTAACTAATATTCCAATCCCTAGATATGGGACTTGTATTTGACCTGAGAAATTAATAGTACTAGCAACCTCAGAACTCTGAAATGTTCTTTTTACAAATACCTTAAGGAATTAACCTCTACAGCTGTTAGAGGTTCTTAGTCCCAAAAGAATCACCACTGTTGAAGACTTTTTCTGGTGTGTTCTTGAGAAAGGTTGTATGACTAGGTTGTGTGTATGTGTGCGTGAGCCCACACACACTGAATTATTTGCTTTGGGGATGTGAGGAAATGATTGGTTGTTGGTTTTAAAAAGATTATACACAAATGCAGTGGTCCCTTGGACAGGCCCTTTAAAGGAGTCATTGAGAACCATCTGTTGCTCACAGCATGTATCTGGTATTTAGTTCTCAAGCTTAGAGATTCTAGTTTTGCTCAGAGGGTTGAGTTCAGTCTCTAAGAGATGCTCTGAAACCAGACCAGGCTGTTTTCTTGGAACTTTTCAGGTTAGAGTCTTGGATGTATCTTCCCTCTACCACGATTATTTGGCTACCAGATGCCTTAGGAAGCTGAATAGTGAGCTCAGAAGTGCCACCATGTATAGTAACTGATGAGATTGTATCTATACAATACACAAAGAACACTTCCTTTTTTTTTTTTTTTTTTTTTTTTTTTGAGACAGAGTCTCGATGTGTTGCCAGGTGCCAGGCTGGAGTGCAGTGGTGCGATCTTGGTTCACTGCAACCTCTGCCTCCCGGGTTCAAGCAATTCTCCTGCCTCAGACTCACGAGTAGCTGGGACTACAGGCACGTGCCACCACCCCCAGCTAATTTTTGTATTTTTTAGTAGAGATGGGTTTCACTATGTTGGCCAGGATGGTCTTGATCTCTTGACCTTGTGATCTGCCCGCCTCAGCCTCCCAAAGTGCTGGGATTACAGGTGTGAGCCACTGTGCCCGGCCAGAACACTACTTTTTAAAAGTCATTATTTGTACCACTTTTTAAAGGTTGACTTTAATATTGGCTGACAGTAAATAATCTAAAAAAAGGAACTTAAATATGCTAATGCTTTGACTTCCTAATTCTTGCCTGTCTATTCAATGTGGAAAGTCAGCTGAACAGGTGTATTATATTCTGGTTCTTGTTTTTCTGATATTAACTATAGCAGTTTTCCTGCAGGGCCTAATTATGTTCCTTTTTTAAAAACAGGATGTGGGAATGAGTGACACAGCAATGACGTCTTTCCTTGGCTGCTGTTTAGATCTTCTTCAGATCTTAATGGAGGTAAAAGAGGTGTATTTTCATTCTGAACTGCTCCTAAGATATAAATATTCTGCAAACCATTGCATTTAATAAATGACTATTTTAATGAGGTTGTTTTTCATTCATTCTTTTTTTTTTTTTTTGAGATGGAGTTTCGCTCTTGTTACCCAGGCTGGAGTGCACTGGCGCAATCTCGGCTCACCGCAACCTCCGCCTCCTGGGTTCAGGCAATTCTCCTGCCTCAGCCTCCTAAGTAGCTGGGATTACAGGCACATGCCACCATGCCCAGCTGATTTTTTTGTACTTTTAGTAGAGACGGGGTTTCACCATGTTGACCAGGATGGGCTTGATCTCTTGACCTTGTGATCCACCCGCCTCGGCCTCCCAAAGTGCTGGGATTACAGGCTTGAGCCACCACGCCCGGCCCATTCATTCATTTGTAAATTTTGACTTAAGCCCAAAAGGTAGCAATGTTTTCTTATTAGATTCTTATTGAAATTAGGATTTGTGTTTTTTTATTACAATTTGGGACAGTGTACAATATGAGTTTGCACTTTGCTGCTAATAAACTCATTAGGGTATTTGTGCGCTATCATTTATCCGTGACTGAACACAGTCCTCCATTCTTAAAACTCTTAGGCAGATGTTAGCAGGGATGAAATACAGATGCCTGTGCTGGATACTGAGGATGCATGGCTCTCCGTGGAAGGACCAATTTCCATAGTGGAACTGGCCCTTGATCAGAAACACATCCACTACCCACTGGTGGAGCACCACTCCATCCTGTGCTCCATCTTGTATGCAGTCATGAGGTTTTCTCTGAAGACCGTGAAGCCACTTTCACTTTTTGACAGTAAGGTAAGTACCTCAAAGGATTTCGGAGCTATTTTGGAGTTGCAGGCTTAGCAGACACATGGGTTTTCTCATTTAAAAGAAGCTGTTCAGAGCTTTTGTGACCTGTGTAATTTCATGTGAGTTCTGACTCCCTTATTCCCTGCTTGATTCTGTTCATTTACCTTCCCTACTGCTCCCCTCTCGGCTGTTTCTGCCCTTCTCATTTTCCCTATTATTCCTGGACAGACTCATTTTCTCCCTCTTATATATCTCTAGGCCTGACCAATCCCCAGAGTTTTTAGGCACACATTTCTGTTGAACTTCTCTCTTTGAGTGTCCTATAGGACTTCAGACATCTTATATCTTAAAATACATCTACAAACCCACACTCCCATCCTGCCCCTAACCTAAATTTGCTGTTCCTTCTGAATTCCCTGGCTTGGTTATTTGATTAATGATGTCATCCTTTTTGCGCTGGCAAAAAATAGAAACTTCTAAATAATCTCACCAATTCCTTACTTCAAGCCAATTTTCTACATTGTAAATTCATTCTTGTATATTCATGTATAGATCATACCTGTCCATTTCTCTCCATGACTATACCCCTAGTTAGGCGCAATCATCTTTCCCTTGGCTCTTCCAGCAGCCCTTTCCTAATCACCCTGCTTCCAGTTTGTCTCTCTCTAGTCTCGTGCTACAAGAGCTGTCTTCCTAAGAGACAGGTTTAATTGTATTAGTTCTATGCCTAAGTTTTTTTGGCTTCTCTGCAGGATTAAGTCCAAACTTGTGAGTAGAATATGTTTTTACATATTCTGTTGTAACCTTCACCATTTAGCTGCAGTGGATAGTCAAACTCTTTCCTTCCCCATGCAGGTGTCAAATTTTGAGAGACAGACAGGACTCTCAGACTGTTGGAGATAAAAATGTCAACTTTATTACTTAGCTTTTTACTGATAGAAACTAGGTTAGAAAATACAGCTTAGGCTTGTGGGAAAGTGGGCTTATTATTTCACCCTTAAATGAGAGACTCACAGCTAGGAGCAGTGGCTCACACTTGTAATCCCAGCACTTTGGGAAGCTGAGGTGAGTGGATCACTTGAGGTCAGGAGTTCAAGACCAGCCTGGTCAACATGGTAAAACCCTGTCACTACTAAAAACATAAAAATTAGCCGGGCACAGTGGCATGTGCTTGTAATCCCAGCTACTCGGGAGGCTGAGGCAGGAGAATCGCTTGAACCTGGGAGGCAGAAGTTGCAGTGAGCCAAGATCACACCGGCAACAGAGCCACAGAGTGAGACTCTGTCTCAAAAAAAAAAAAAGTATAGATCTTGAATGAGTTAGTGTTATCTTTGAGATTAGAAAGGATAAGAGTACTTAAAGATTAAAGAAGAGAAAGAAATGTCAAAATAAAGTTCCCAGCTTGGTATTCCCCGCAGAGGTCTTTGCCAAACCAGAACACATCCAGAACTGGACGAGCGTATTGACGTTGTTAGTCTCAACCCATATCATGCTAAGACTACCTGAGACAGCTGGGTGACTCTCATCTGCAGAGAGGTAGTATGGTTGGTTGGCTAGTGAAACGATCCCAGTGCTACCATTTGCTAACTAGAATTATTTCGATTTTCTTAGCCTCAGTTTTCTCATTCAGAAAGTAGCAGTGACTCTATCGCCAACCTCATGGTTGTTGTGAGGATTCCTTGTATTCAACATGAAGTACTTAGCAGCGTCTGGAATACAGTAAATAATAAATGGTACTGTTATAGGCCTTTATAGCTAAGACCACCAGGTGGGAACTCCCAAGTAACAGATGTGAGTGTATGCTAAATCTTTAAATACTTCGATCAGTAATGTCCAGATTGTCATGGGTTGTCCTGGAAGTCTGGTTTTTCTTATCACTAAAGGATGGGTAGCTTTAATCTACTTGGCAATCACACTAGGTGACCTAGAATCACAGATGATTAGGTATGGAAGACACACTGGAAGATACCTAGGATGTGACCTGCTTGCAGAAGAAGAAACAGTTAACGCAAGATTGTGGGTCATTTACCCGAGGCAACCTGGTTGGAAGTGGTGAGCTTTGGACCAGACCCGGGTCTTCCAATTTAAAGGCCAATGCTCTTTGCTGTGTATTACATTTTCTTCCAAGGAACTTCTGAAATCCTGTTTTCTGATATTCTGTTTTTACTTTTTAGATACACATCTGTTCTTTCAAATCAGGTGTTTTCAAACAATTCGTGTTTTTAAAGATTCAGAGGCTGGGCACAGTGGCTCATGCCCATAATCCCAGCACTTTGGGAAGCCGAGGTGGGCAGATCACCTGAGGTCAGGAATTTGAGACATGCCTGGCCAACGTGGTAAAACCCCGTCTCTACTAAATACAAAAAAATTAACCTGGGTGTGGTAGCACACACCTGTAGTCCCAGCTACTTGGGAGGCTGAGATGGGAGAAGAGAATCTCTTGAACCAAGAGGAGAAGGCTGCAGTGAGCTGAGATCGTGCCGCTGTGTGATTATTAAACAATTTAATGAAAAATAAACAGGGCCAGGTATCATGGCTCACATCTGTAGTTCCAGCACTTTGGAAGGCTGAGGACAAGAGTGAGACTCTGTCTCAAAAAAAAAAAAAAAAAAAAAAAAAAAGGATTCAGAGTACATATATATATTACTTGGCTATTACTGCAAAGCAAATCATCCCAAAACTTGGCTGAAAATAACAAATGTTTATTATCTCACAGTTTTGTGGGTCAGTAATCTGTGTTCTCCTTATATAGGTGCCTCTGGCTTAGTCTCTCATGAGGCTGTAGTTAAGGCCCTGCATCTGAAAGCTCAACTGGGATGGGGAAAGGGTGATTCACTTCCAAGCACAATTGTTGGCAAGATTCAGTTATTTGCCACATGTGCCTCTCGATACAGCAGCTCACAACATGGAACCTGGCTTCCTGCAGAGCAAGTGAGAGCAAGTATGAGTGCCTGAAGGCAGAAGCACTCTTCTGGAACAGAGTCTTGGAAGTAACATGCTATCACCTCTATCTGCTTGTTTGCTAGCAGCAAGTCACCAGCCCACAGGCAAGGAGAGGAGACCATAGGAAACACGAATACCAGGAGGAGGGGATCACTGGAGATCATCTTAAAGGCTGTCTACTACATACTAGATAATTGTTATAAAAATTAAAGGAAGAATTCTAAAATCTTATTGTTCAAGGAGAAGTAAAAATCAACCATGAATTATTCTTAAATGTCTTAAGTTTTAAAAAATCTTTCTCCCTTTCCCCACTTAATAATCCACACCCTGATATCAATTTTCTTGCTTTCTTTCTGTTTAGGGAAAAAATGCATTTTTCAAAGACCTAACTTCAATTCAGTTATTACCTAGTGGGGAAATGGATCCAAATTTTATTTCTGTACGACAACAGGTAAATTACAGCTATTGGATTGTGTTTTTGTTTCTTGGGGGAAAGAAAAACAGTAAAGGAAAAATCTAGCTGGCTTTTAAAAGAATGACCACTTTCAAAGTGTTTTGAGAGCTAGTCGTTTACCTTTAAATTATGTCTTCCTTTTTTGATAATTAAACAATTTAATGGAAAAGCCACTATAAGTGGAAAAGCCAACAATACTTTGATTTAGGTATTTTAAAATGAAACAGTAACAGTACATTGCTATGTGTCTCCTTTTTCAAGTTCTTACTGAAAGTTGTCAGTGCAGCTGTCCAGGCTCAGCATTCAGCCACAAAGGTCAAATATCCCACAGAAGAGGCAACACCCACTCCTTTTGGGAAAGACCAAGATTGGCCGGCTCTAGCTGTGGATTTAGCCCATCACCTTCAAGTTAGTGAAGATGTTGTCAGAAGGCATTATGTGGGGGAACTATACAACTATGGAATTGACCACTTAGGAGAAGAGGTAATCATGAACCCTTTGAATGTTAATTGGACTTGTTATAAAATTGATAGTTGGAATAAAGAATCAGTAAAGTCTCCAATGAAACCTTTTGCTCTTCCTTTTGTTAGAACATCTAGGTACAAAAATAGAACAATAGAGTATTTTTTAAACATAAAATTATAATCAAATAGTGTGCCAGGCCTGCTGTATGCACAAGGATATAGCAGTAAACAAGATTCCTTCCTCATGGACTTGATAAGTCTGCTGGTAGAAGCAGAAAAGCATGCTAAATTTTGCATTGCATGGTAGGTGCTATGAAAAAAATAAACAGGGCCAGGCGTCATGGTTCACACCTGTAATCCCAACACTTTGGAAGGCTGAGGCAGCAGATCACTTGAGCTCAGAAGCTCAAGACCAGTCTGAGCAATATAGCAAGACCCTGTCTCTAAAAAGGAAAAAATTTTTTTTTGTAATTTAAAAAGAAAAACAAAAACGGGATCATATGAATAAACAGGAGCTACTACAGTAGGGTGGTGAGAGAAGGTGACGTTTAAGCTGAGCCCCCAAGGAGAAACAGCAGCCAGCTACTCAGAAACTGGGGGAACAGCCGGGCGCAGTGGCTCACACCTGTAATCCTACCACTTTGGGAGACAGAGGTGGGTGGATCACCTGAGGTCAGGAGTTCAAAACCAGCCTGGCCATCATGGTAAAACCCCATCTTTTAAAAAAAAAAAAAAAGAGACTGGGGGAACAGTGCTTGAGATAAGAATTACAAAGGTCCTGAGGTGGGTGGGGACTAGAATGGCTAGGTTCAGGACTAGAAAACCTGGAACGGCTGACCAAACCAAACATAGTAAGCAAGGAATGAAGTATGGGATGAGGCAGGGAGGCTGGCACAGGTCATGGCCACGACTTAGGATACGGCCCATGGGTATTCTAAGTGTATTCAGAAGCCATTAGAGGGGCTGGGCATGGTGGCTCATGCCTGTAATCCCAACGCTTTGGGAGGCCACAGCGGGTGGATCATTTGAGGTCAGGAGTTTGAGACCAGCCTGGGCAACATGGTGAAACCCGATCTCTACTAAAAATACAAAAAATTAGCTGGGCATAGTGGCACATGCCTGTAATCCTAACTACTTGTGAGAATGAGGCAGGAGAATCACTTGAACCCAGGAGGTGGAGGCTGCAATGAACTGAGATCGCACCACTGCCCTCCAGTCTGGGTGGCAGAGTGAGACTCCATCTCAAAAAAAAAAAAAAAAAGATCAAAAGAAGCCATTAGAGGGCTTCAAATAGTCATGACATGAAACTCCCTTTATTTGCCAAAACCTTGAAAACAATACACTGAATAGCCATACTGAATTGAAAAATGAGGTGATAAGAGAAAAACAATTAGCCAAGGAGCAGAAATTTGGGTTTAAATGCTGAGCTTGATTTGGATTTATCTTTTGGTTGTATACAACCAAAAGACGCACAGTTCAAAAATCAGCTAGAATCTCTTCACTGGGAACCCCTTTCCTATAGAATATAAACAAATGTGCTCACTGTGACTGTATTATTTCTCCATGTTCCTATCTTCAGGCCATTCTACAGGTTCATGACAAAGAAGTCCTTGCCTCTCAGCTGCTGGTGCTGACAGGGCAAAGGCTGGCTCATGCGCTTCTCCACACCCAGACGAAAGAAGGAATGGAGCTGCTTGCCAGGCTTCCACCCACACTGTGTACTTGGCTGAAAGCAATGGTCAGTACAATACAATGAGATCAGGCCACTGGATGTTTCCTTAAGTGCCTAGTTAATAACAGCCATGAAGAACATCTGACAAATTTAATTCACCTAGTTACAAAGAAAAGCATTTTTATGTAATAACTCTTAAGTCAGGAACAATTGTTTACTTGTCTATAATAGGTTATTTTTCTGTCCCATTTGCAGGACCCTCAGGATCTTCAAAACACTGAAGTGCCAATTGCAATAACAGCTAAACTAGTAAATAAAGTAATTGAGCTTTTACCGGAAAAACACGGGCAGTATGGTCTAGCCTTACACCTGATTGAAGCTGTGGAAGCCATATCTCTTCCTTCTTTATGACACTTACCTACTGGAAATGCTCTAAAATGATTAAACGTGAATTAGTGCATGGTTATTTTACATAGTAAGACCTGGAATTTCATGGGAAAAGTATGTCTTTTTTTTTTTTCCTTTTGTAAAAGAAATAAGAATATATACAACTTCTAAAAAGTGCAACCCTGGCTAAATTCTACTCCTTGGTTAATACTGAAGATAAAATATAAACAAATGTCAACTCTATTATAATTAATACAGATGTTTTACTGTTTATTTCTATTTCAAACACTTTGGTAGCTTTATTTAGTTAAACTTTGCTATTTAAAAAATGGTTATAATTTTTATGTTCTTATAAGATTCTATATTTCCTATCTAAAATGTTGTTGTAATCCAGTTTAAATGTGTTCATGTACAGTCCCCATCCGTAGAGTACAGAAACACCCACTCTCCTGTAGTAAATGTTGAGAAAACGCCTTTCTTGTCATGCTTCAAATCCCACACTGGGCTGCCACCAGGGAGTTCTGGAAACTGAAAGCTTCCTTTCCCAAAGGGTTTGCTGTTGCCATCAGAGGATGACAGTGCTTGAGGAGAAAGAATGGGTTCAAGACCATCATATTCGTCAGAATGGGGCACTGAATAGAACCCTTCACCTGTTGTACTTGCCAAAATTGAGAATCAGAGGTGCGTACGATGCAGCAAATTAATTACAATGTAAGTTAAAGATTTGCTTTTTGCCAAGTTCCAAAGTTGTATCCACATCAGGTGTCTGTAAAAATGTATTATCTTGTAAAACTCATGTTCAAAAAAAAATGGCAAAGATACTAAAAATTTTAAGTCCAACTTTATTTTTCCTACAAATGTTGAGAAATGCTTCTGGGATTTGCTAATGTTATCTGTCCTTGGGAACAGTATTGAAAAAACTGCTTAGTGATATTACAGCTTTAGCAAACCTACCTCATAGCTGGGATGAGAGGATAAAATACAACGAATTTTGTACCCTATAGTGCCTAGAGCAGTCCAAGTGCTAAATGCGTATTTACTGATTAAAACCAAACTATAGCTACTCGGGAGGCTGTGGTGAGAGGACTGCTAGAGCCCAGGAGTTTGAGGCCATCCTGGGCAACATAGCGAGACCCTGTCTCAAAAAAAAAAAAAAAAAAAAAGAAAAAACCAAATTAACCAAAACTCTGTAAAAGAGTGCTTTGAGCTCTACAAATACCAAGTATTTATTATGGTGTATTTTAGAATGTAGCCATACAGTGTAATTATTGGTATCTGTCATGGGTCACAATTGTTATTCATAGTAAGTCATTGTTTCTTCACTTTCCCTTAAGAAGCCAACTATAGTAATCATGCAAAGTTGAGAAGTATGTCCTTCAGGGATATAAAGTTTTCTTTAATCTGTTTCTTGACCTAAAAGAACACATCCAAACAAGAATTTAACTGGCTAAAATAATTACTGTTAAGTAACTGTGAAACTTAAAATCTTACAAGGTAAGCGTTTAAGACGTCTTGGGTATTTGGCATGGGGGCCTGTGAGTCTGACTGAGGCATACATTTTAGAGAGTAACAGCACTGGAAAGAGCTAGTCCAACCTCCCAGCCCCTGCTTGGGTCTCTGCTGCCCCAGCCAGATACATCCTAGAATTCTTGTAAACATACCTGGCTCTTAACAGTCACTTGTCATATGTGTTCTAAGAGATTAGTTCTTCCTGTGGTATTTTGCAAGTATGCTGAAAGTAGTATGGACTTAAGGAGGCTAGTCAAAGAAACTTGGAGTTATAGGCATTTTTATCCTCAATTCCATCATCACTTCGGGGAAAGGGGTGCTTATTAAGCATTATATAATAAAACTGGTTAAGCTTACTCTGGTAGAACAGACAATCAAATTTGGGGATTGCTGAGAATAATAAGCTGAAATATGGCTCACAGCATCCTAACACAAATAATTAAGACTCTAGTTGTATTTGTTATCCTAAAATTTTTCATAGAATTTTAAAATTGAATTCTGACTTGTATGGTTAAGAAAAGCAGTTAAATATTTTACTACTTATCAAGGGCTTTTAAAGTAAATAAATCTGATATGAAGAAAGGCAAATAAATACCTATGTAGATATTCTGTAATAACAAAGCCATAGATGATAAAGGAATTAGATTTTATGTAGAATGGGTGGTTTCTGAAACAAAAGTATGTGGCACTTACTGTAGTTATTGATGAGAAGCCAATAACCAGTAGCGTTTTCCTAGATATATACCCACCCTCACACAACTTTCTTCATTAATGTTAAATATGCATTTTATCTTATTGTGTAATGCTGAAGGAAAACAGTGTTCAAATAATCATAACGTCTACATTACAGGTTGTGTTTAGATGTAGACCTAGAGAGGCCAGGGAAAATGTAGATAAAGAGATGCATAGCACCAAGCTTCTAAATGCTTCATAACAGGCATCCCCAAACTACGGCCCATGGGCCGCATGCGGCCCCCTGAGGCCATTTATCCGGCCCCCTGCCGCACTTCAGGAAGGGGCACCTCTTTTATTGGTGGTCAGTGAGAGGAGCACAGTATGTGGCGGCCCTCCAACGGTCTGAGGGACAGTGAACTGGCCCCCTGTGTAAAAAGTCTGGGGACGCCTGCTTCTTACTATTGCAAAAAGAAAAAGTTTTACGTTTATTATAAAAATTCATCTATGGTCAAAGTAAACACTGTTACATTTAAATTGCTATTTTAAAACAATTGCAATCTAAAGTTAAAAATCTGAGATTTAATAATACTAGACTTACATTGAATATAATGTTCATTTAGAAGTTGCTGTGGTCCATTTGATTTATAAGAGATAAAATATTTTTACAGTACACTATAGCTACAGCGAGAGCCCTCTCTCACCCTGATAGGAATGGGTTTGCTGGGTGTCTACAAGTTAGATTCCTGCTGAATAGAATTAGCCATCCTTAAAAGATTTTGATCCAATACTGAATTGTTTATAAAATGCTTTCTCTATTGTAATGTACTGTAAGTAGTGAAATTCTGTATATACTGCTATTTTCTGTCCATTGTTGTGAACTTATGTACATTGTTGTGAACTTATGTACATTAGTGAAATAAATTTTCAGCTTTCATGTTGTTTCCTAAACATTCATAAATAGAAGTATTAAGAGATTTCTTCTTGAGTAACAAATTTGGTCCTTCCCTTCCTTCCTCCTCCTCCCTCCTTTTTTTTTTTTTGAGATGGAGTTTCCTTCGTGTGGCCCAGGCTGGAGTGCAATGGCGTGATCTCAGCTCACTGCAACCTCCACCACCCAGGTTCAAGTGATTCTCCTGCCTCAGCCTCACAAGTAGCTGGAATTACAGGTATGTGCCACCGCACCCGGCTAATAGCGTATTTTTAGTAGACATGAGGTTTCTCTGTGTTGGTCAGGCTGGTCTCAAACTCCAACCTCAGGTGACCTACCTGCCTCAGCCTCCCAAAGCGCTAGGATTACAGATGTGAGCCCCACCGCATCCAGCCAGTGATTATTTTCTTTCTAATCCAACCCCAAAAACTAGCTATTCTGAAAAGTTTGATGTTTACTAGTGGGAAGAATAAAAGGACTCTTCACCTCCTGGAAACACATCTCTGCCATTCCCTTTCAAAACTATACTTTACGCAATATTTACTTCTGCCAACATCAGTCAGTACTTTTCCAGAATGCCTTTATTTTCAGATATCATAGAATTTAAATAGAGTCAAAAGATATGTATAAAATATAAAACATTTTCTGCTCAACCATATTTGAAGATAAGCTAAATACATGTCTATGTTACACACACACACACTTTTTTTTTCTCCATATATATATACATAATTCTTTCTGTAGTTACAGGAAATACTTCTTTTATAATTCTGATTTTGACCCTCATCCTCCACTGTTGACTCATCCACTCATTACCTAAATCTTGGATTTCTTTCCCAATATTGTAAATCTGTCTAAACTTCTAGTCAGTACTGTCAGGAGGTTCTTGCTCAGGTGAGCTATTAATACTATTTTCCACTGACAGCTTCTGTACATCGAGGACACAGTGTATCTGAAGATTCCGCTGTATACTTCCAACAACGAGGGCATTTTTCTTTGGTAGTTGGCATGACAATTACTTTATAGGAAGACTCTTCACGAATATCACCACCTATAAAAAATACATGAAGAGTGTTTCTCGTAGGCATTCAACTTGTATCACTGTGTCTTCACTGGTTTAGCAGAGGCCTCTCTTTCAAGTTCTCCATCCTGCTTTGGTAAAGCTTGTTAGACACTTCCCCGTTTGCCCCATTACATAGCCAAGAGAATGGGATCATACAACTCAACAACTGAAGAGAGCTGAGGAGTTGGAGACCCCATCACTCTGAGACTAACTGACAAATATCCAAGTCACTGACATCTACTCAGGCAGAGCAGACTTTCTAGCTATTTAATCTGCATATAGTTCTGATTAATGATGCTGCCTCTCCAGCTACATACTTAACTAAGAATGTTTAAAAGCCAAATTACAGTGACAACTACAGTGTCCTTACTCAAAATTTCTCATGGGACAGAAGGAACCAAAAGTATCTCCACAATTAATACTCTTAGACCTCAAATTGATAAAAATATAAAAGTAAATTATTTTCTAGTCATTGTACAAAGAGTATATAAACATTACATGGCCAGGTGCAGTAGCTCACGCTGAGCACTTTGGGATGCCAAGGCAGGTTGATCACCTGAGGTAAGGAGTTCGAGACCAGCCTGGCCAAAATCGTGAAACCCTGTCTCTACTAAAAATACAAAAATTAACCGGATGTGGTGGCGGGCGCTTCTAATCCCAGCTACTTGGGAGGCTGAGGCAGGAGAATCGCTTGAACCTGGGAAATGGAGGTTGCACTGAGCTGAGATAGTACCATTGCATTCCAGCCTAGGCAACAAGAGCGAAATTGTGTTGCAAAAAAAAAAACAAACAAACAAACAAAAAAGGCCGGGTGTAGTGGCTCACATGTGTAATCCCAGCTCTTTTAAGAGGTTGAGGCAGGCAGATCACAAGGTCAGGAGTTCGAGACTAGCCTGGCCAACATAGTGAAACCCTATGTCTGCTAAAAATACAAAAAACATGTCAGGCATGTTGGCATGCACCTGTATTCCCAGCTACTGGGAAGGCAGGAGAATTGCTTGAACCTGGGAGGCAGAGGTTGTGGTGAGCTGAGATCATGCCATGGCACTCCAGTCTGGGCCACAGAGCGAGACTCAGTCTCAGGAAAATAAAATTACAAAAAATAAATTAAGCCAGAACTTTTACTACATGGTCTATGGTGCCACGCCCAAATTTGAACTGATGCCTGTAAGTTAACTTCCCATCTCTTGGTACCCGAAAGCTATGAAAAATGCAAGTAGCATAAACTTTGCCAAGATACCTGCTTATTTTTCTTTATTAATGCAACTCAACCTCCACCAATGAAGATGAACCAGGTTGACTTTTTAAATCTTCTATAAAACAAGTATCTACAAAATGCTTCCTTATGACACACTATTGTTAGAATGTGCTCAACAAAACTTCCTCCTTAACCCCTCACAAGAATGGCTAACTCTTTTAATCTGGGGTATACATAACAGGAAATTTCTGCATCAACACTGAGGAATGGTGGGCAGGACTGCGCCAGTACTGGGGTACTAGGTATCAAAGCAGGGGGACACAAGGGAAATGGGAGCAAGTCAGACTAACATAAACCTCACATACAATACCAATATTTATTCAAAGGACAGAAAGTCTTTCTTCCGTCCCTAGCCCTCAGTTCCCAAGATCATCAGATAAGAGAGTTTTATTATTTCCATAGAAGGATGTATTCTAAGTATATAACTGACTTTAGAATAAATCTAGTTCACTGAAAAGTTGGAGATGGCTTATAATTATTCAGTTCTCCAGATGTTACTTGTTATTTTCATGTCCTTCTTACCTTCTAAGTTGATGAGGAATTTCCCTTTAAGCTCAATTACATCTGCAGTCATCTCTCGTGGTTCCTGAGCCAGTAAAGTTGTCTCAGAAGCCATCATTAATTCATTCAACTGAGAGGTGCTGGAAGTCTCTTCAGACTGCAGCATCTGGAAGGAAGCATGTGAAAGTTACAGTTTAGGTTAAATTT